GTGGGCGGGGTCTTACCATGCAGGAGGAAGCGCCGGCCGCTCCGGCACAGATCATGACATCAGAGATGTTGCTGCCCCAGTGTCTCTTGCACTGTTCGTTGGACAGCAGGGGGAGGGCTGCCTGCTGGAGCCTGTTGGGGGTGGTGGCAGCTGAAGGAGACCAGACATGGAGAGCGTTAGAACTTCCTGTGAACGTGACATCAACACGTGACCAATGTTACAGGTTCCATCTCACCGTTGTAGCGGGTCAGACCCCAGCCGGAGGTCACACAGGTGGTGCCAGCAGCTGGGAGCTGGGGGACAGGAAGTGACAATCAGCAGAGTCATTAGGATGGAGTGTGTGAACTGTAAAGGTCAAAGGTTAGCATTCAACACTGGCAAAAACGACCCCTCACCGTTGTAGCGGGTCAGACCCCATCCGGAGGTCACACACTTCATTCCTGCGGGGAAGACGTCGCTGGACTCAGCCAGGCAGACGGGGGAGACGTTGGTGCCCAGGCGGGCGGGGGTGGCCAGCTTGATGAGGGTGATGTCATTGTTGATGGTGCGGGGGTTCCATTTGGGGTGGGTGAAGACCTGGGGCGGAGGGGCGGGGGTGAAGTTAGTGGAGGGAGGATGGGGGGAGTAAACTGGTTTGTCTTGGTTGATGTTCTCACCTTGGCGGGCTTCAGGATCTGAACCTGCTCGCTGGCAATGCCTTTGTCATGTTCTCCGAGGACGACGCGGTGGTAGGTCCTGACAGGAAACAGGAAACAGGAAACAGGAAATCAATATCAGCAGTAAATAAGTCAGTGAACAGCAGCAAGACCTTTCACTGATTATTATTTCTTGAAACATTATAGAAACGTGCGTGTGCAGCTGACCTGACGTTGCAGTGGGCGGCGGTCACGACCCAGTTCTCATTGATCAGAGATCCACCGCAGAAGTGGAAACCAGTGGATTGCTGAAATAAAATCATATCACATAATAAGTTGAGTGCATCGTTATATCCCTCCTGGTGATGATGGAGGTCACGGAGGTCACGAAGGTCATATACAGTAACTCACCTGCAGAGACACCTGCCAGGGCCAGGAGTGAGCCTTGGCCTCCTCACCGTTGACGATGCGGGCGTAGCCGGTCACCTCAGGGGGGACGGCGGGGGTTCCGCAGCCTGAGGGGGGGTGACAGGTGACAAGTGTTAAAATGTTAAAGGACCAGTCTGCTGTTTTATACCAAATACTGTCTCTCTTCCCCCGTCCCTCCAGTTTAGGCACTTCTTTTAAATACGATGTCTAAAGAGTTGACAGAATCTGACCGACAGAACCTGGACTGGTCAAAACCAGATCCAATTAAAAACTGTAGCTCAGATCCATATAGAAAGTAGAATGGAAACAAGGCCTTGACCAGGACCTGGACATGGATTAGTACCAAGATCCTGACCAGGACAGAACAAGACCAGGAGTAAGACTAGAATCAGGACTGGCCCTAGAAGACCTACAGCACCACCAGGGGGCGCTTCTTAGCCAACTGACAATGATTAGAGTCGCTCTGTTCCCCAAATAATGAATCATGGGTAAAAGTTAAGAGCATCAACAGTTTCTCACCGTAGGCGGCGCTGACGAGGGCGAGGCAGGAGACAATCCAGAGGAAGGCCATGGTGATGAAGGTTGAAGGATGAGGAGCTTAGCCTCCACCGTCGTCTTTTATCCTGGAACGCTGCCCAGTTTCAGCCAATTAGAGCAGGCCGCTGTTTGAGCAGCTGGTTATCAGAGTCCAGGACCCGGGTCAGTTCTCACGAGTCCCACGCCCTGGCCTGCTGCTCTGTGATTGGTCCGTGTCAAGACAGATTCAGCAAAACAGGGAATTAAAATTCATTAAATTAAGATAGAACTGGAGATCGAAACTAGGACGAGACCTGAACACAACACCGGGGGCCTGAACACATGACCTGGACCTGGACCTGGACCTGGACCTGGATCAGTTTAATGGTTCACTGTCATACAGAATGTTAAGTAAGAGAAAAAGAATCAGCAGTTAGGCAGAACCAGAACCAGAATCAGGACAGAAACCTCGCTCGAAATATAAACCAAAAGATAAAAAAGTTACATAAAAAATAATCCGACATCAGCTAAAAGTCAAACTCAGTTGCTGAAATGTTATTGTTTAAATGTTGAACTACAGATCAAAAAATAAAACACTAACATAAAGTATTTTATGATAATAGTTTTATAATAAATAAATAAATGAATTATTATTAACTAATTCATAATTTAAAAAATACATTATAAACAGAAGAAGGACAAAAACAGAACACAGAAAACTAATTTTCTTTTTTTTGGTTTGCGACAAATTAGAACTGCTCAGTGGGCGGGGCAGTAACTCGAAGATAGTGTTTGGTGTTGAAAGTGAAACTGAAGGTCAGAACCAGAGAGACTGGACTGGAGTTGGACAAATGTTCACCAAGGAAACTCCTGATAAAATATAAAAATCCCTGCTGATTCATTAATGCTGCTCCTTACATGTGTCAACATTTTCCCATGTGTCCCCGGGTGGACATCACTGTCCAGCAGGGGACAGTGACGTGTGAAAATGTCTGAACTGGAGCAGCGGTCCCACAGCTGTGGCATCACAGTGGAGATAAGCCTGAGACAAAGTCATGTACAGTAACAGTACCAGGTTCATGAGGTCAAAGGTCACCAACTATGACAGACGCTGTGGGGGGGCAGACACTCAAATAAAATTAAGTAAAAATTATTTCTGTTTCATGATGTGATAAATGGTGGTGGTTGTGGGGTGTGGTGGGGGTGGGGGGGCACTAAAAGTTATTTTATTCTCAGTTGTTGTTTTAATAGTGGGCGGGGCATGATAGTTTCTCTTTTATCCTCACAATTTTAGAATCAATTCATGGGCCGGATTAGATGGTTTGGTGGACTGGATTCAGTCTGCAGACCGACAGTTGATTATTGGTGTAGATGAAATGAATCAAAATTTTGTTTCTGAACTTCGATTCAAACATAGGTGGTCGTCTGTCACAGAGCTTAGATAGATTCCTACTGGCTGTTTCATCGTGTGCTGCACAAAAAAAAACCCAAAACTGACTTAACGTACATTTTAAAGACATTTCTTCATGTGTGGATGTTAGAAGGTGGAGGTCATGTGTTGACTGTGAGTGATTCACAGGCTGTGGGAAAACATCGTGATGGGTCAAATGTTTCTTCCTGCCCTTTATTATTTTTTGTTTATAATGGTTTAAAATAAAAATACAAATAATAATGTGTTATTTAATTAATATGAATTTCTTGATTTACTGCAGTTTTCAGCGTGTTTTAGTTTCTCTGCTCTCGTGACTGTGAGGACAAACGGAGCAGAAACACTCTGCTAACTTCAGGGTAAAGTAATGACCAGTGAGATATAAACAGAACAAGGTTTTGACGTTTTGTTTCTTTCTGTCACTGCGCTGACTGGTTCAGTACCTTTTCTCCCTCTCAGAATTCTACGTCGTGTTTCCAAATGTTTAATAACAGATATTTTTACATTACTTCTTTTCAACATTCAACATTCAATTATAGAAGATATGTTTAAGTAATGTACGAAAAAAAGATCATGGTTCATCTGTGAAGGTTCTCCGTCCTACAGGTCATTTAATCCTACGATGTTTGTCTAGATTAGCTAAAATTGAGTCAACAGAGAGTTGACTTGTGGGTTATCCTAATACAGCTAAAGTTTATCTCAGTTAGCATGAATGCAGCAAAAATATAAATAAAACTGAAATATAAGCTTTAGTTATTTAAAACGTAGTCAAGCTATTGATGAAGAATGGCTAAACCTAGCCTGCAGCAGAGCTTATAAGACTATTTGTTTCTTGACTTGTTCAGAACAACGATGGCTGAACCAGTTGTTTAGCTGAAATAAGACGACAGCTGTTAGCGCCCTAGCTACAGTAAAAGTCCAGTTATATTAGCTTATAAAAGCAAACAACAACTTAGCTAGTGTTTAGTTAGAAGGTAAATGAAGGTAGAATTTAGGTTGATGACTAAACATTGACATTTCAGTCAGGACTCTGAGTGAAAGGTTTTATTGATGTTCAGTTTTTACACTGATCCAGACAGGACCAGGGATTGGGGGGGGGGGGGGGTGTCATCCACTGCAGCCCATCCTTCTCCTGTACTGCCTTTAGTTGGCAGCAAGAGTCTGGTCGACCCAGCTGCGGAGCATGGTGACACGGGCGTAGACGGCTGGGGTGGAGGTGGAGCAGCGGCTGCTTCCCCAGGACACGATACCCACCAGAGTCCAGGCGTTGTCCTTCTCACACACCAGGGGGCCACCAGAGTCACCCTGAAAACCAGAGTCAGAGCGGGTGAGGCAGAGGCAACACACATGAACAAAACGTGGTGGACGGGGTCTTACCATGCAGGAGGTGGCGCCAGCTCCACCGGCACAGATCATGACATCAGAGATGTTGCTGCCCCAGTGTCTCTTGCACTGGTCGTTGGACAGCAGGGGGAGGGCTGCCTGCTGGAGCCTGTTGGGGGTGGTGGCAGCTGAAGGAGACCAGACATGGAGAGCGTTAGAACTTCCTGTGAACGTGACATCAACACGTGACCAATGTTACAGGTTCCATCTCACCGTTGTAGCGGGTCAGACCCCAGCCGGAGGTCACACAGGTGGTGCCAGCAGCGAAGTTGTCGCTGGACTCAGCCAGGCAGACGGGGGAGACGTTGGTGCCCAGGCGGGCGGGGGTGGACAGCTTGATCAGGGCGATGTCGTTGTTGATGGTGCTGGGGTTCCATCTGGGGTGGGTTAAGACCTAAAAGAAAAAGGGTGGGGTCAGCAGGGCAGGAGTGACAGCTGATGAGATGATGGCGGCGAACGTTCTCACCTTGATGGGCTTCAGGATCTGAACCTGCTCGTTTCCATAGCTTTTGTCGTGTTCACCAACGACCACGCGGTGGTAGGTCCTGAGGGGCGCGGTGAACAGGAAGTAAGTGGTGAGTGGATTCTGTTAAAATCTAAACGTCCTCCACTGTTGGTCGACTGCTAATCGCCGGCTTAGATCGACAATGTATATAAATATATACATATATATATATAAATATAAATAGTATCTTACTATTTTGTAGAACACATAGATATTATGTTTGTATTAATTTTGCCCTTTTTAACAATTGTTGTGCTGTTTTTCCACCAGTTATTCCATAATAGTTAGTTTATTTCTGAAAGCTAACGTCGGTTGTTGTTTTACAGCATCGTGTGAAACTGTCGCTGATAAACAGTCGCTTTTCGCTCTGACGTTGGTTTTAGGATTTTTGATCAACCTAAAATCACCAGTTCAAAGGTGAAAGTGTCTTTCAGTGGGATACGCTACAGCTAGCGTGATGCTAGGTGTGAGGTTGTTGTGCAGCTGACCTGACGTTGCAGTGGGCGGCAGTCACGACCCAGTTCTCATTGATCAGAGATCCACCGCAGAAGTGGAAACCGGTGGATTGCTGAAAAAAAAAAATACTGAGTCAAAGAGAAAGACGAGGAGGAGGAGGAGGAGGGTTTCTGGTGTCGACTCACCTGCAGAGACACCTGCCAGGGCCAGGAGTGAGGTTTGGCCTCCTCACCGTTGACGATGCGGGCGTAGCCGGTCACCACAGGGGTGATGGCGGGGGTTCCGCAGCCTGAGGGGGGGGTGACAGGTGACAAGTGTTAAATTCTGCTGTTTTAGTCTGATCATAAATCTAGACCTAGACCTGGACCTAAACCTGACCAGGACCCAGGTCAGGTTCTTGACAATTCTGAGGAGGATGAAAAGTGACGGTCATTAAAGGACCAGTCTGCTGGTTTATACTGGTTCATTTAAACATATTTGAACCAGTAGAGGGCAGCAGAGATATACTCACAAAGTCAGTTCTTAAACAACAAATTTAAAAAACAGTTTGAATTGACGCAGGAGGAGAGGCTGACCATAGGCGGCGCCGATCAGGGCGAGGCAGGAGAAGATCCACAGGAAGGCCATGATGATGGAGAGAAGATGCCGCTGAACTCAGTCCACGCCGTTTTATCCTGAAACGCACACTGGCTTCAGCCAATCAGAGGCCACGGCCTGTTGTCCAGCTGAGCAGCAGCTGTTTATCACAGTTCAGGACCCACGGTTCACACCCCCTGACCTGGGGCTCTCTGATTGGCTGCTGCCATGTGTTTAACAAAATTCAACAAATTCAGAAGTCGGTGTTTGGATTATTTATAAGGATTAAATAGTATTATAAAAATTCAGAATTTTCCCCATTTTTAACCCCAGAAATGTACTATTAATTAATTAAATTAAAATCCCCCATTTAAACATCAAAAACACATAGATATAAAGAAATATATTATTATATATAATATATTATAAATATATATATATAAATAAAATGGGTAAAATAACCCAGCGAGACAAAGAGAAAAATTAAGCTGGGTTGAACATTTGTAACTTGATGTTTCCTTGTGCCACGGGGAAAATCTTGCAAAAGTTGCTTACTCGTTACTATCGTATCGTGTTTTGGTTAGCTCGTGTCTTGAAGCCCCACTGTATATAATAGGACGGATAAAAACAATCTTTGGGAACCGCTGTAGACATTTCAGCAGTCGACCATATTATGGTCCATATTATGACATATTTATGCTGATATTCACACCTTTGAAGGGTGACAATGACCCCACCTGTTGGTAACTTGAGGTAACTGAAGTCAAAGCTGTAGCACAGAGAGTGGACAGAGGACTGAACTGGTTATACAGAGGCCAAAAGAATGTGCAGCAGGGTAGGGTGGTAAAGTGTGTTGATGTAAAACGACAGACTGAGAAAAATCAGTGAGGAAAATAAGTAGTAAGGAAGTGAAGGAAACTAGGAAAATGTTGAAGGATGACTGGAAGAAAGAGCGACTAGAAGAACCTTCTGGACCTTCACAGTCACCTGGTGACTGGACAGGGACAACCGGGTGTTACTCGGGGACGTGGGAACAGAGCTGATGTCTGTAGTCGTTTCAATGTCATGTCCAATAGATTTCAGCGCTGGTCATGTGACCTGACCTGAGGTAAACTGAGGATCTGTCAGCACTTCTATCTTTGTCTCCTCCTTCATCTCCTCGTCATCCATCACTGAGTTCCACAGGAAATGAAGAAGTTCTGGAACATTTTTAAAGTTGACAAGGTTTCGTTCTGAAGGGAAGGTGAGGAGGGGAGACGAGGGGAGAGGAGAGAAGACAGGAGAGAGGAGTATCTGTCTGCTGGTGTTCAGTGTGTGAAGTCTGTCATCAGACGTCTGATCATCAGGTCTCAGTTAATGATTACAAACTGAGGCAGAGGTAACAGTCAATGAATGATATGTATTTACTGCACTGTACTGCACTGTACTGCATTGTACTGCACTGGACTGTACTGTACTGGACTGTACTGGACTGGACTCGTAAAGGAGATCAACAGTGAAAATGTACTACATGACAGAGATCAACAGTGAAAATGTACTACATGGTGATTGTGTGTTGGTACTGTATGTTATGGAGGCTACACTGTGGAGGAGTGGTGATTGCTGTTGCCTTACAATCACCAATGTGGTCCCAGTTGGAAGGTTGTATGTACTTCCTGTGTACCCCTGGTGTTTCTCCAGCTACTTTGGTTTACTACGTACAACAGTAAAATGGAACTGTAATGACGTGTGATCCAGTGAAGGCAAACTTTATAGGGAGTATTTTTTTACTGGAAGTATGAGTATTAGTCAATGGAACTGTAATGACATGTGATCCAGTGAAGGCAAACTTTATGAACTGTGGGGAGGGAGTATTTTTTTACTGGAAGTATGAGTATTAGTACACAGTTACTGTTAAAACACATTGTTTTACTATAAATGATCCATAAAACTCTCAGACTTTAATTTATTATCTGACTTGATAATATATTAATGAGACGACTACTACTACTACAACTACTACTAGTACTACTAGAACTACAACAGTTTTTTGTTACTGTTATGAAATTGAAAAATGCATTTTATTATTATTATTATTATTATTATTATTGTCCCAGTCCGTCCTAACGTCCTCCTGTGAAGGGAAGTGAACGTCAGCTCCACGCAGGTGAACTCTGTTACTTTGACATCAGCTGACAGGAAACGCTGTCTTCACTGTTATTTCCATGAACTTGTCACGTTGTTTCCAACACTCCGTGTTTAGGTCTCCGGGTCCTGATCTGGACCATGGACCTGGACTTTCCTTCAGTCCTCCTCTGAGCTCCTGCTCACTCCCCCCAAAATGCTGCTGCTGCTGTTGCTGCTGCCACAGGAAAACTTGACCTCAGGCTGGACCGAGGCCGAGGAGGACCACCGCTCCCCGTCCGGGTCCGAATCTGACACAGCGGCTGGCACTGGGCTGGAGACCGGACCAGAGGCGGTGCTGGTACCGCTAGTGTTCGGGTTGATCTTTGTGCTTGGGGTTCTGGGAAACTGTTTGGTTCTACTGGAGACAGATACGGCAGCCTCGGGACACGCGGCGGCGGCGGCAACGGCGCAACCCGCGGCAGCGTTACCAACATCTGGATCGTGAACCTGAGCTCAGCCGATCTGGGCTTCCTGCTCTTCTGTGTGCCCTTCCAGGCGTCCGTCTACTCCCTGCCGCACTGGCTCTTCGGCTCCTTCTTATGTCGCTTCTCCCACTTCTGCTCCAGCGTCTCCATGCTGGTCAGCATCCTCACGCTGGTCGCCATGTCCGTGGACCGCTACTTGGCTGTGGTGCGCGCCGGTAAGGCTGTTCGAGTCCGGAGCCGGAGAAACGCGCTGGTGGGTGTGTGTGTCATCTGGACGCTGTCGGTGCTGTTCTCGGTACCTGTGGCCCAGCACCAGGTGCTGACGGGTCACACCGCCGCACCGAACAGCACCTTCTGCTGGGAGAGCTGGAGCCAACACGCGCACAGGCGCGTGTACAAGGTGTGCGTGTTTGTGCTCGGGTTCGTGGTCCCACTGCTGCTCATCAGCTGCTGCTACGTCAAGGTGAGTCTGGCACACAACAACAACAACAACAACGACGACAACAACAACAACCACAGTAACAACAACAACAGTGTTACAGCAGCACATATAACTTCCTACAATACCACAGCATCTCAGGGCCAAACACACAAACTTCGTCAGCGCTCCTGTAGCGCCACCTGCTGGAGAGAGCATCAAGTCATCCAAGTAGTAGTACCGTGTACCTGGTACTCTGTCTGAGTATCACCAACACAGCCCAGAGCATAAGAAAAGTCAACAGGTTTTAAGGGAAGACTTAACTTTGTCCTCCTGCTGGTCAGTCACCTGGTCAGTCACCTGGTCAGTCTCGTATTCATTTCGTATTAACACCCTGGTGTTGGCAGCTCTAGTGTTTGCGCTTTGAGCAGGTTTTTACGCACAGACGTGGAGAGTGACGTCACTTCGCTCATTTCGCGGCTCCCATTAATGAATAATGTGTTAGTTTGAAGTCAGGTCAAACGGGGTCAGTAATGACTAATGGTTGAACAGGACGAAAAAGGATGAAGTCGAGATTCTGTTTGTTGTTTTAACTGATTATCACATACAGAACACGGAGCAGGAACAAAGGGCGCGCCATAAAGATTGTGCGTAAAAACCTGCGCCAAGTGCGCACACAGCAGCAGCAGCGCAGGGACTTTCAAAATAAAACTCTCTCAGAGTCTTTTTCATCTCAGCGACAGCAGCAGAAATCCACAGGTTTTAAAACAGACACAGAAATATTTAAGGAAACCCTGAGATCAGACGATAACCTGTGTCTGAGAACCATCTGAGTGACCCTGGTGATCATCTACAGGCTGAGGACATGCTGTAGGTCAGGTCTGTGGTCTGGTTTGATCTGATGAAGTTCTCATTCCAACGTCCTCTTCCACAGATTCTGTTTCATCTTCATAGAAAGATCAAGAACACGTCGAAGAAGTCGGAGCGTTCCAAACAAAAGGTACGATTTTCTTCTTCTCTTCTGGTTTTGTTCTCAGCCATCACTCCATGTTCCTCCTCATTTTTCTGTGGAGGTTTTAAAGTAGTCGTATTGAATATGATAACATTAGACGATGGTGATGGTACAGGGTTTCTGACTCCCATGTAGAAGGTTCCAGGTTCAATTCCAAAGGAGAGAAGAGCTGAAAATATCTCTTCGGTCTAAATATAGTCTGTTTTCTTGGCTCTTCATGTTTTTGTTGAGGGGGTCAGTGTCGACCTGCAGCTGAACTTATTTTTCCAACGGTGACTTTGACTGGAAATAGCTTGGAACCAGACCTGGTTTCTGTTGGACCAGTTGTAGTGCGCCTCCTGTGGTTGGCAGCAGACAGTGAACAGACGTGCTGTGGCAGAAGATTAGAGTCCAGTCTGGACTGAACGACTGCTGGCGCTGCTGAGCATAAATATTTAGACAGCTGGACTAAGTATAGACGAGGTTCTCTCACGACAGAGAACCAGGAGGAACCAAAGGTCTGAAGATCGATGACTGGAGACCTGCTGCGGCTGCAGACGGAGGTCTCAGAGTCAGACTGAACTGAAGGCGTCATTAACGGCTTCTGACATCAGAGGAAAATGGTCAACCATTGCCACAGTTCATGACCAATTTACTGGTCCTGGAAACAGGAAACAGTGATATTCACATCACAGAGCATCACGCAGTCACAGCATTTGACTGATTTTATCCTAATCACGTGGTCCTTGAACGCAGCACCCATTCTTATGTTGAGTATAAACCCGCTGGTCAGTGAACGCAACACCCAGCCTTGATGCTGTTAGATTGATGTCTTACAGAGTAACAGTAAAATGTTCTCTCCGTCACTGCAGACAACTCAGACGGTCCTGATGGTGGTCACCGCCTTCGCCCTCTGCTGGTTGCCTCACCACATCATCGTGATGTGGGTGGAGTTCGGCCTCTTTCCTCTGAACGACGCTTCCTTCGTCTTTCGAATCGTCTCCCACTGTCTGTCCTACGGACATTCCTGCCTGAACCCCGTCCTCTACGCCTTCCTGTCTGAGAACTTCCGCAAGGCCAGTCGTCAAGTCTTCGACTGCCATTTCCTGTACTCCACGCCACCTCCAGACGCCATGGTTCGGTTTCACATAGAGAACTTCTCCACCACACTCAGTGACCATGGTGTGACCAGCAGGGGGAGCAGGACATTGTGACAGTGGTGTCTTCAACTCTAACACAGACCAAGATGGCGGCTCAGTCAACAGCTGCCGATGAAAACTCTTCTCATGAACTCTGACATGATTTCTGAGTTAAAATCACTCACAAACATTGAATCTTGGAACTTATTTTTGATACACATTTACTAAACTTTACAAACCTTAGCCTCATATCTAGAAATGCTATGTTTGGCACTGTAGCCAATCAGAAAGCAGGATAGCATTAAGCTAGCTGTAACTGAAACACAGATTAGCTTGGTTACTGAAAAGATAAACATTTTTCTGCCGTTCACATTTCAGCTAATTCCAGCTAACTCTTTATTTTTGCACATTTTTTACCTAAAATGTATTATTTTGTTGTTGTTTTCTTAGCTTTTCACTATTCACTACTGCTTTCTTATAATAAACCATTGTTGTATTCAGTTTTTGGACTTACTGACGTGTGTGTGTGTGGGGGGGGGGTCCTATCTCAGTGGCCAGGCAGTTGGGCCTCTGGGGTTTGAGTCCAGTTGTTTTCTCGTGTGTGACAGGCTCCAGTGGCTTTGGTACCTGAAGAAGAAGAGGAGAAAAAAACTGTTGTTTTGTTTTTCTGATATTTTCAAAAATACTGTAATTATTTTTAACTACAAATCCAAAGGTTCTGTAATCTAAAAATGAAATTCAAACCAAATGTTTACTAGTGACACATTTATAAAATCACAATTATAAAACAGATGGACATTTAAAGTCAACGTACAATGACATTTTTTTCACATTTTTTACAATTGTATCTGTATTTGTCAGAAATGTCAGCAGTGATTCAATTTAATGGTTTATTAAATGTAAATTAAAAATATATTTTTTTACCTTAGGTTAAATATGATCTCTACTCATGTCATCATTTGCTCTCACTTTATTATTTGTGTTCATTATTATTATTATTATTATTAATAATAATAATAATAAACTGATGATGCAGTGATGTTCAGTATTGGCTTTTAATTTAAATTTCTTTTACAGTTTTGTAGGTATTTTAAAATATTGCAACAATATAAATTTAATTAACTAAATTTGCAACTTAACTTTAGCTAAAAGTGATTAATTAGTTCATTTATTACAACTGTATGATTTTTTGTACCATTTATTTGGTCTTTTATTCCGTGGTGACGAATAAAAGCTTAAAAATCGTATGAATCTGTAAAATGTTATTCCTTATTTGACCATCTGAGGGCGCCATAGTCAACCCTTTGAACACTTCAATCACCGCGAGGCAAGATAGTTCATCCGAGAAAGGTTTATGCACAGTGGACGAAAATAAGATTATTGTAAAACGTAGGTGGACACTTGAAGGTCAGATTTCTTTGTCGTAAGTTATATTACCTTAGAAGACAGTAAAGACAGTACATACACACACACACACACACATTTATTTTACCATCAATGATGACCCTAACCCTGGTTAACCAGGATAAATCCACAGCTAACGTATGATTAATCAGATTAAATATTGTAATATTGTAATTTGGACAGATTTATCTACGGTGTCATGGATAAGGAGTTCCGACCTGTGACCAAACCGAACAATGTCATTTATTCTGATCTTAAATTTTCACCAACAAGTTTAAAACATAAATGAAGTAGAACTTCATAAAACTCCAGATCTGTCTCCACTCCAGTCCTTCATGACTGCTGGTCTCTGCTGGTCTCTGTCCCCGGCTGTGGACTGTGGGGGGGCTGTCTGTCCTCAGTGCTGAACACAGACACCAGGTCTCTGACACTGCTGGAAGACCGCGATACCACCGTGTCCTCCTTCATCCTCGTCTTCCTCGGGTTGGTGTTTAGACTCTTGGAGCGCAGAGTCGGGTACATCCTGTGCTCCTCGTCCTCCGACTCCTGTGGTTCTGTCCTCTCCTGGACTGTCTCCGACTCCTGGTGTCCCTCACTGGACCTGGCTTCTCCTCCGACCTGTGTGGTTTCAGTTGCTCCTTCTCGTCCTGTCGTCTTCATCATGCTGGTTCTTCCATTCTGATCTTGAGGAGTGAGGTCTGGGAGGAAACAGCCGGCTGACTTCCTGTTCGAGGATGGACTGCTGCTGAGACTTAAGGATGACGGACATCGTGTAATCTTTGGCGTCACCAGAGGAAAGGACGCTGCTGCGTCCAGACTTGTCTTCTCAGGAGGGTTCTTCTCAACGTCAGAGTCTGTGAGGTCCAGCAGGAGTGACGCAGGGCGGCAGTGGGTGGGTTTGAGGTCAGAGTCACATGAGGAGATCAGAATGTTGACATGGGACAAGGACTGGGCCCGCCCCCTGGGTCCCTCCACCTCCAGTGTGGACGGGAACTCCTTCACATCACCTGAAAACCAGAAGCAGAGGAGTCACGATAGAAGCCAGGTCACTGGTCAGTGCGGTGACCTTCTGACCCTGCCTTCTCACCTGCTGCATCCACTTCCTGTCTTTTTGGACTGGGCTGTACCCTTCGGTCCAGGATCTCAGTGTCCCGATCACCTTGATCTACGTGGTATCGATACAAACTGTAGCCGTCTGCGCTGTTAATGCTGCTGTGACGCAGCAGGGGCGTGGGCTCACAGATAGAAGACCCTCGGGAGCGTGAGCAGATGAGCTCAGCGCGGTCGATGCCTGCGAGTTTCTCCAGAGCGTTCATCATACGACCAGAAAACTCCTCTAACTGAGAGAGACGCAGGTCAACGGTCTGTAGAGACGCCTTCATCGAGTGCTCGCGTTCGTTCACTTCTTCCAGACGCATGGACATATTCTCAACCCTGCATATGCGGCACACGCACACGCACACGCACGCACACACACACAGAGAAGTTAACTTGACATAACTGTTGTTTTCCAGGCTGGAGTCCCACAAGGTTCTGTACTTGGTCCTTCTTTGTTTTTCTAAAATATTAATAATAACTGCTAATTCATATGATGGTTTACAGAAGTGTGTGTGTGTGTGTGTGTGTGCGTTGTTAGTTTACCTCTCCGACGTGACTCTGATTCGTTCGTTGTTTGACGACTGCTTCTCGTCATCTTTCTCTCTGAAATATTCTTCCACACACTGTTCCTCAAACTCATGGAGATTCTTCAGCTCCTCGGCACTCAGGACCAGCTCTGAAACACACACACACACACACACACACACACACACACCACTGTTTTATTTACTACATACTAATAAAATTAAACGTTTGTGATGACTTAACTACATTTTTCCTTCACATTTCATTCAGGTTTAAAGAAAACATTGTGTAAAATATAGATTTTTTGTATTTATTTTTTAATGGTTGCATTTAAAATTGTTTTTAGCTCACATTATAAAATAATTTAACTGTTACATTTCAAAGAATTTTTGTATGAATTCATCATTTGGTATTAAAAAGCTGACTTTTAATTTCATATATATATACATATATATATATATTTCATTTCAAATATTACTATATTTAATATTGATTTTGAACCACTTCCATGTGTTCAGTCGACGCGACACTCACGCAGCCGTCTTTGGTGCTCGTCCTGGTCACCCTCCGGCCGCTGCCTCCATCGGCAGCAGAGCATCTTAAGGATGATGTAGACGTGTGGGAAGATGATGAGGGGGGGAGGCAGGATGGGGCGGTCGTGGAAAGTCATGATCAGCTGGTAACGCTGGAACTTCCACACCTGGTTAGAGATGGACTTCACCTCAAAGAAGGTGTTACTGAGCAGAGGAAGAGGAAAAGGTTAGCGTCCTGTTGTGGACCGCGTCCCCCTGCGTGGACGTTTGCTCACATCAGCTGGTACAGTCTACTGAACCAGGATATAAACACTAACTTGAAAACTGCAATAAGCAGGTTGACCAGCAGGATGTTTGCCACCAGCAGGTAACAGGCCATAATAGCAGGCGTCAGCCAGGCTCCTGGGATACAAGGAGGAAGTTTCTTCCCGTCTTCATCGTACAAGTTATCTCCACAGGGAGCTGAAAGTCCACAGCAGGAGACTTGAACCAGCGTTCACCCAGTCATAGTGACCAGCACAGACATTACTAACAGAGTTCCTGAGCTAACACAGAATCTTTGATTGGAATGAAAAGTGTTTCACTGTAAAAACTCACGGTTGATTTCCATGGCGTACACTGTCCAGGAGGGAGAGTCAGGAGAAAAGAGAGACAGGGTGAGGAGACTGAAGCTGCAGCTGAAACATCACATCAGAGCTGAGCAGGGTTTGAACAAGAACACAGTTCAGACACACAATGAAGTGGATCCTAACTACACCTGGTCCAGGGAAAGAGTTTCTGTGATTCTGACAGGACTCAAAGGGTTACGACTAGTGGACAGAGAAGCAACCTAGTCAGGTCTGCAAGGAGACATAGCTAGGAGATAGTGGACCTTTCACTTAGAACTCTCTGGTCCAAAGAACTGCTGAAGAGTGAGAACAGGGGGGAGGATAAAGGAATGGAGACCAGATGATGGGCTGCCATATTTTCTGGACTAAAAGTCACATGTTTTTTGTAGTTTGACTGGTACTGAGATTTATATTCCAAGGCAAGTTATTTATCAAAATATACATATGTCATATCATCTATGGACACCAGAGGGCATCATCTACATTCGTGAAAACTGACCGGTGGAACAGGGACTTGTTGAAATATATATGTATATATATATTTTAATATATATATACATATATACAAACATATATACACACATATATATTTATATACGTATATATATATTTATGTACAGATATATGTACAGTATATATATGTATATTTTTTTTAAATATCTATGTGATGTTAGGAAACTGGAAAAGTAGGGTGGACGGAATAGGACAGATGAGGACTACCAGGTGATGGACTCTTACTATGAACTCTAGTCTTACGGTCTATGGAGTCGGCAAACACCTCTCCGTAGATCATCCAGTAGGGCATGTAGAAGATGTTCCTGGCCAGCCGCCATGTTGGCTCCTCATCGGGGTGGAGAATGGCCTGCCGTGCCACGCCGAAGCTCATGAGCACCACCAGCATGATGACCACGAAGTACAGCATGTCAATCATCTGAAACAGAGAGCATCACTGGTAATCACCAACTACTGGTGTTGACATGAAGGATTGCTGGGTTGATGAACCGGGGTCATGGTAGGGCGGGGCCACATGGACTGAAAGTCATAACTTTTTTAGCTGATACTCCAAATATATCAATATTATTCCAGAGAATTTTCCTCTGACGACATATCTCACCATCTTGCCAATCATCATGACATACGGCCCGAGGTACTTGTTGACTCCAAAGATGTCTAAGACCCGGATGTACCAGAAGATGATGTCCACACAGTAGATGACACGGCCGTAGCCCATGTAGGGCTCGTTCTGAAGCCGCAGCAGAAGACCCAGCAGGAAGACGGAGATGGCCACCAGGTCGGTGATGTTCCAGTAGTCCTCCAGCCACACGTTGATCTTCTGCTTCAGCTTCCCTGGCTCCGACATCAGGATCTGACAAAGAGCCCAACATTCCAAACGTCAACAGTCTGTAAACACGTGTTGGAAATGATACTGCGACAGGAAGCAAACACGTCCAGTGTTGGAAATGATACTGCGACAGGAAGTCGTCCGAAAAATACCATCTACAAAGTTTACCTGACGAACTTTCTCCAGTCCCAGAGTGATGATGTAAGAGATGACGATCCACTCCTGCAGAGACGGCCATCGCTCCATCTTCACCAGGATGATGTAGTTGTACAACATCAGGTACACCAGGTACGAGATCTGTGCACGGAGCAAGGATCAAAGGGCGATCAAAGGATGTCGGAAACGTATTCATAATAAATACATTGTAAGAAACAGTCGTTAACTGTAGTCGTGACAATAACTACTTCTTTGTGATTGATCTACGTCTTCATATCTTTTTCACGTTTTCATCTTTCTTTTTTTTTTAAGTGTTTAAAGGTTCCATAGGTTCCATCTCTTTTTTTTTTAAACTTGACCAAGTGTTTAAAGGTTCCATAGGTTCCATAGTGGGAGCACGGCTGCCTTTCAAGGTAAGAGCAGAGACTCCTGAGTTTGATTCCCAGGGGAACCACATACCCCTAATGGGGGAAATAAAAGGGACTTTTTTTTTCTTTCTGTGAACTTGCCGTGTTGAACCAGAACTTGGTGAAGGGGGCGGTGTAGAACTCATAGATCTTGGTCCTGATGGGAATTCTTCTGCGCAGTCTTCTGTGGTTTTCTTCTTCATCTCCTTTCTTGGATGTAGTGTCAACGTTTGAGACGGCGTCCTGAAAGGACAGATGCATCATTACCCTGAACATGAACTAAGCAGATGGACGAGATCACTTGTCTCTCTTTTCGGACCTTGCTGGATTTGTTGTCATCGTCTTTGTTGCTGTTTTCTTTGGATGAATTATACAACGACTCCTCGCCGAGACGGAACTCCATGAAGAAGATGGCCGGAGGGAAAATGATCCCGAGAATCACCTGTAGATCAAACAAGGACAAAGACAGATGGTCTCAGAGAGGCAGTTTGAACACCTCCAACATCTGCCCTCACCTCCAACATCTGCCCTCACCTCCAGGCTGTTGCTTTTGCCCATCCTCAGACAGCCCATCCACATGTCCGTCAACAGCATCTGACTGCAGGTGTGGGCGATGAAGTCTCTGTGTTTGGCAGCTACAGCCAGTTTCAGACAGGTGGAGTTGCTCCAGTTCTTCAGCTCGTAGGTCAGCAGCTTCATGGCCACCTGCTCGTCGTGTTTGTACGACTGGTCCAGGAGCTCGTAGGCCAGCTGACCAAATTCTCTGGAAAACACATACAATCAAAGTCAGTCTGTGAAAAAGTGGGGGGGGCGAGTGGGAGAGTTGTGTGGGTGAGGAACTGACCTGGAGTTGTTCTCCAGATCCTGGTAGATGTCGTCCACCAGCTCACTCTGAGAAGACTCGTGGGCCATGGCCTTGTACAGTTTACAGGCCACAAGAGCTTTGGCCATGGCCTCTTCTCCACGCTGCCACAGAAACAGCGCCATCTTTTGACGCTTCATAAGCACCGCCCACACCATCAGCTCGTGGAAAGGGTACTGGAACCGGCAGATCTCTGGGTCGTCTACGTCGATGTCTATCTCCTCCTCTTTCTTTTTGGTTTTCTTTCCTTTTCCCTTGGAGCGAGGCTCATCATCCTGAAGGAAAGAGTTTTCTGGTCAGAAAAAAAAGAGACTGAAAATAAAACAGCAGGTAAAAAGTCTGAAAAAATTACCTCCATCCCAAGAAGTTTCAGGGCTTTAGGCTAAAAAAGAAAAGACAAATAAAACATCCAGGGTGAGGAGGAGAAGACAATGGTTTTACTGTGGGGGAGAGGGGTTGGGGGGGCTGTGGAAACTGGAAGTCACTGCTATAATGTCATATGAAACAATCACCCAAGTTAATTTACACCAAGTATTTCATCAGTTATTGCTCCTGTTGTACAGCTGGACTTCGACTTCACTGCTTCTCCAGTTCATCCTCCATCATCAGATGTGGTTTATAATAAATGTCTACGGCTGTAACATGCATCGGAAATTATATTTATGTTGCTCTTCAGTTGTTGTTTTATATATTGACAGTTAACCAGGTCAATCAGACCAGACCAGTTGGTGATGGGATTTTACAGAGTTCTGACAAAGAAAAGATCAGTGGATTTGGTCACAGTTTGACTGGAGATCATTTGGTTTGAAACTAAATCATGAATCACATGGTATCATGAATCACATGGTATCACGAATCACATGGTATCATGAATCACATGGTATCATGAGTGACGTGTATCTCCAGTATATAAATGTCACTCACTCTCTTGAGGCCGTACAGGTTGTTGTACAGAGTCCTGAAGCTCTTCCTTGTGTAGTTGCAGCGATAAGCCCCGCCCATCAGAAACTCCAGTACCAGGCCAATGTCGATCAGTGTGATCTGGTAATCTGGGGGGAGGTTCCCCTGCAGCACAAAAATCAAACTTCAAGCATCGGAAAAAATTTCATCAGGAATTTTCTACCCTGTATAAAATCATGTTTCATTTCACCTTCTTCACATCCCTGACCACAAACTGGAGAGTGTTGGCTGGACCCAGTTTCTGGAAACACAATCAGAAGATGTCATTCAACCTGTTTGCTTCTGTTAGAGTTCTATTCATTTTCTGAAAGGTGAAGGAAACAGACGCTGCTCTCTAATCTGACTGTCATGTTGAGGAGAATGTGTTTGAGAGACGCAGATTAATGTTAAAGAGCGAAACCACTGATGGACGATAAGCTGCACATGTCACCGAGACTATAGAGGTTAATGTTAAAAGCTTTGTTTCCAAGCCCCGCCCTCGCTAACTTTCTACTCCATTGAGCTTTAGCCCCTGGTCAAACCATGTGACTGCTCTCTCTAAAAGGTTATGAACAGGTTGGTGAGCACTTATCCTACTGTTCTTATTCATTGCCTGTACCGTCTTCACATACTTCTCTGCCACCCCTGACATTTAGTAACATGGTACTGGTGAATAGGCCAGTTCTCACTGGAGAGAGCAGAATCTTCAGCCTCTCCTTTTATCTATGGTGTGGGACGGGAACTTTACTGTTGGCACACCATCGGCCAATCACATGCAAGAACAGATTTGACTCATACCCTGCAGAAACTGAACTACTAGGAACAAGTAAAAACATTTTCAATTAAATCGATTACTTTGCTTCAATTAAATTCATTTAATATCTGCAACAACTAGATCTAAACTGTGGCTTTAAAATACTTTGACTCTTCATTTGTTCATGGCTAACTGTTTCATCCAACTGTTTCATCCACCGCCGTCATCGCACACTGACCGTGTTATAAAGCTCCTCCAAACGAGGAATCGTCAGTAAGTGATGGATGTTCACGCCGTTTTCAATCAGCAGCTTCACAAAGTCCACTCTGTCCAGGACCAACGCGTCCATCATGGACTGTTCCAGTGAATTCACCTGTAGGGGGCGTCATTAGGAGTATAACATAATGTTATTGCTGAATATTGCCTTTCTTTCACCTGAACAGTTTTGATGCCATGAGATCTGAATGATGTTGATGGTGTTAGTGTTGTTGTTGTAGTTGGTGATGTCATTGCCTGTTGTTGTTGACTGTGAGGTTGTGGTGTAGTTTTTAGGAGAGCCAGGTCTCCTGGTGTAGTGTGTTGTTGTAGTACAGTGTTGTTGTTGTTGTTACTGGTGTTGCTGCAGTTGTCAGTGTCCTGGTTGCTGTTCTCAGGTCTCTCACCCAGCTCAACAGCTCCAGTTTCCTTGGATCTGTCTCTTCAGGTGGTTCTGGTTTCGTTTTTCCTCCTTTTCCTTTCTTCCCTTTTGCTTTTCCTTTAGCTCCTCCTCCTCCTGCTCCTCCTGCTGCAGCAGCTCGCTGGGCTGATGGACTTTTGGGACGGTCAGTAGCCAGAGCAGAGACAGGCTGGACAGACAGAGAGGCAGAGAGAGAGAGACAGTCTCTAAGCTCTTTGTTTGGTGGACATGTTGTCAGAGACACCAGTGAAGACTCACAGGCCAGTGATGTCCATGGATGAAGATCTGATTGTGGGCGATGTCCACTCTGTTCCAGGCCAGAGCCAAGTTGAGTTGGTCTGTGGCCGAGGCATTTGTCCCTGAAAACAAACAGAAAAGACACTGTTGTAAAATAAATTTAAAGACAATAAACGGCTGCAGAACAGACGCTGCACTGACACATGACGAAGTCGTACCTTTTAGTAGAGCAGTGAGAATTGACATCTCAATGTCCTGTTGTCCTTCAGAACCCATCCTGAACACTGTGATCTACACACACACACACGTTAGCCTGCTCTGAGGGAGCACAGCACATGTTAACACCTAGGAGACATGATGATATCGTTCACCTAATGCTAATATCTCTCTCATGATACACAGCATTATTTCTGTTGACATCTGTGAAGCTAAAGGCTAAACGCTATATGTGTCTGTTGTACACGTTACCATCTCAAGCTAACATTTGTGTGAGGTCACATGGTGACGTCTTTATGACACTCTAAAAGACCCTCGACATCAGGCTGTGTGTCAGGTCCAGGAGACATCGGTCCAACACTCAGGGACAACTGTTCCTGGTGATTCCATGTTTTTTTTTTTTTTGCATTTTAATCCCAACAACAAATCATTTAAAGTGATTTAATGGATTTTTATTCTCCCTACATTTATCAGCAGCTACAGCTGTTGTCAGGAGGCAGCAGAGGATTGTGGGATTAAATCATCGGATGGAGGGTCACGACAGAACAATCTCCACTAAGAGCAGTGGTCAAAAATAAAACCATTTGTCATTATGGGAATGTCACAATGGACCGGTGTCAGGACCCCTCCACCCCCCAACAGTATTAACCCCGTGCTGACCAGAAGTCTTAGCATTGTTAATAGACTAGTCCATAGAAATGGCTTGTGAGCCTGTGACCATGTGACCTACCAGAGCTTTCTTCTTCATGCACTCCATCACCATGAGGAAGATCTGCTGCGCCTGGCCGCGGTTGTAGTTAAACGTTTTCTGGATGGTGACGAGAAGCTGATCTTTGACGCTGTCACTCACCAACCTGAGAACATCAGGGAAACCAACAGTTGAGCCACGCCTGTGATGACTTGGGTCGTACTGGTTTTCTACTGCCTCGTGTGGTAGGTTCGTGTCAGTGCTAACTTACTGATTGAACCACATGTTAATCAACCACCTGTGTGTACAGTGATTTAAACCCACTCTGGTTGAGGGGGGTTCATGGCATTCTCACCCGTCCTCCTCGCAGTATCTGTGAGCGAAGGAAATGATGTCTGATGCTCGGCCGCTGCCGTCACAGACGACAACAGGGACAGGGGGGTCTTCTTTCAAACTCTCCAGAACTATGGCAATCACGTTGGGACCACCTTCCAGGATCAAACACACCAATGGGACACCTTGGCCCAGACCTGAGACAAACAGTCAATTTGTTGAAGAATCTTTTGCCCCCTCCACCCCCCCGCTCACCCCTCATCCAGACTAAGAAGACTGAATATAAGTGTCACATGACTAACGTGTGTTGATCTTTTGCAGAGCGATGTGCTTCTCCAGCTGTCGGCGAAGGCGGACCTCGGCGCCGTACTTCCCGCTGGTCCCGTTGTCAGAGAGGATAAAGTGGGAGTGGCTACTGTTCAGCACCGCCAGCTTACTGAGTGGATTGGACATGGTCTGGTAGGGTCTGGTCACCTTGAACAAACAAAGTTCTGTTTAGTTGAGTTAAGTTCTAGTTCAGTCCAGTCCAGTTTTTTTTTTTGTTTTTTCTCACGTACATCTCGTCCAATCAGGTCCTCTTTGTTCTCGATAATTCCCCACGGTGCGATGCCGATGGCACAGACTTTCCCCCTGGACTTGGACGAATGATCCTTCAGAGCGTCTCCAACATGGCGGATCACTCCTGAAACCAGGGATGGAGTCATTCACCTCTTCCTTATTAACAGATTAGTTTTAGCACTGACTGGGTCATAAATGTTATTAGCCTTGTTAGCAAAGTGACTTGACATAATTTAAGGTAAGTAAGTGGGCTAGATAGCCTAGCGTTGAGGTAATAAAGATTTCTAACCTTATTACTAAGTTAGTTTGCTCAAGTACAGATTAACCAGACCATCAATAATATACCCTGACTTTACATTAGTGAAGAGTTTGGAAACATATTTTAAACAAGGCTACATTAGATAACAGTAGGAAGGAGATTATTGATCAGTAGATATAGCTGGAAATACTAAAGGAGTATTAATGAAATGTAACTAAGAGTCTGTGCAGCGTTGACAGCCGTTCACAGACTGGGTGTGTGCTGAGTCCAAACCTGTGCTGACTCCCCCGGTGTAGATCCAAGCCCCGGTGGTGACTGCAGCTTTGATCAGTCCTTTCCCAAACACCTGCTTCAGTTTAGGGGGGAGGTCAAAGTTCTGGAGACCACCGTGCACAGAGATGAGTAACGTGGGCAACTCCAGCTGCCACTCCTTCAACATCAGCTGCAGCAGGGACTCAGGCCTGGAGTCGTAGGACACTCGGATGTACTGAGGAGGAGCAGGAGGACAGTGGGGACCTGGTCAGTGACACGTCTCTCACACACACACTCATCACTCCGGGGTCTTCAGGTACCATAGCCTTGTTGTTGTGTCCTCCACCCTGGAACTCAATGACTCCGTAGGCATCGGTGGGAGACGTGTGGGTGTGTTTGGGAGGACTCCACTTCTCTACAGTCGGGACGTCCAGCTGCACCAGTGGAGCTCCTCCATCGGGTTCAGCTGCAGCAGGGACAGAGGAGTGCTGCGCCACCAGCTGGCCACAACTGCATCTGAACAAGCAAACAGCAGAAACATTTTTAAACCATTGCAGTGTTTAAGTTTGTTTGTGAATAGGGACAAATCTTTGCATGTATCTGTACCTGCTGGTGTCTTTGCCTGTAATGATCTGGACGCACTCTCTCTTCAGAAACGTCCTTTCAATCCAGGCACGGTGGACCTTTGGACAGAGTAGATCAGTAGAATGACAGTAGAATCTGGTAGTTTACCTCAGTGGGGAGACTCAGACACAGTAGTTTCAGTCTGTCCTACCCTTTGTGACGCAGTGGACACACTGCGTTTGATGGAGGAACGTTTGAAGGATCCATTCGTGTCCCTTCTTCCCCTGTTGTCCATGATAATGTTCAGCTGTCCTCTGACATTCTTGTCCTACTCCTTCAAACTTTGGTTCTCTCCCTCTCCATTTTTCCTGCCGTCCTGTCTTTTCACCTGTTTCTTACCTATTTTACTCCCTCTCCTTCCTTCGTCCACATCACCCTCCTCAGACCTGCGTGCTGTCCTTCTTCTGTCCTCCTGTCTCTGGTGCCCTGTCTTGTCTTCTTCAGTCTGCGTGATCTTCTGCCTCTGGTGTCCACCCTGCAGCCAGTAAAGTCCTCAGGACTCTGCCGTGGGTCGAGACATGCAGAGACCTGCTCTCTGTAATCTGGATTAGTTGATGCTCCTTTTTAATGCACACAGATTTAATAAATGGTGACTGAAGATAAACCGACTGGAGGACAATTCATTGTCCCACACACAGTTCTTGTTACAGCTGCTGAAGGTCAGTGGGTGAAGTGGATCTAACCCTGGTCCAGGATGGACCTGGATTAAAGTAGATATGAAGTTGCTCAAATCTACACAGTACAGTATGAACAGCTGCAACCATGAGGTCATGACATCAGCATCGAACCCATCAGTGAAACACCTGGTGCTCTGAAAAAACTGGCCACAGTTCGGATTCTGAAAATGTATACAGTGATGGATTTGTACAAGGTGGAGCTGTGGGCCTGGATCTCAATATCCCCTGGCTCTGCTGGTCATGAGTCCAAATCCACTTGTGTTCTTGAATCAGGATCAGGATTACGAACCTGGGTGTGGCTCTATAGAAGGATCTGAACTTCCATGTGGGTTTGGACCAGGATCTTCTTCTGGCTTTTTTTCTTGTTTTGTTTTGTTTGTTTTCTTCTGGCTTTTTTTTCTTGTTTTGTTTTGTTTGTTTGGGGGGGGTTTGGATCAGGATGTAATGTACTTATTTCTTAGCTCAGGACTTGACGCTGTTAAAGAAGCTGGTGGCTCTGATGTTATGTCAGAGGTTCAACAGTGACCTCTGGTGTCTATACGCTCCACTAACACATAACCCAGGTTCCAGACGCGGATCCGACATTGTCGTTCATTTTTCATGTAGTATTTCCGACCACTTTTTTTCAGGGTCATTTTTTCCCTTTTTACATCAGAGAAAACAACACGAGACTACAGTTTATTTTTTAATTCCAGTTTTAAAATAAAAATAAAAATAAACCACAATAACATCAAACCTGCAGTTTTAAGACGAGAGATTGTAACAAATAATAGGACATGAAAAAGATCCAGTATTTTTTCCTTCATTGTTTACTTTCTAGTTAACTTGATAAGCTATAAACAGTTAGCTTGGTATTAGCAACAGAACAGTTTTAAGCCCCAAATGTATTGTTTGCTTATAAATAAAAAGCAAAATAAAAAGTTAGGCATCAGTTGTTGTTTAGTTGTAAGTTCAATAAGTACAGTTAGCTAAGTAGTAACAACGGATTAATATAACATTAGTAGAAATCCAGAGGAGTTATTTACGCACAATTAGCCAAATGAGACACCTGTATGTTTGGTTAGCATGGTGTTAGCCTAGGAAAAAGTTAGCATAGAATTACTCCATTTGAGAAATTGACAGGGTATTAGCTAAAATTAATGGTGGAATTACATTAGCCTTAAATGATGGTTATCTGAGCCTTAGCTTCTTTAGCTTCCTTTGACATTAGCTCCCCACACGTATTATCCTTTGACATTAGCTCCCCAAACGTATGCATTAAATCCAGATAAGTTTACATAGGTAGACTTACAAAACTTAGCAAAGGAAGCTATACAAATGCTCTAGAGTCTAGAGAGTCCTGAAGAAAACTTACTTATAATACCCTATAAGTATACTTAGCAAGTTACTTTAACGTACCTAAGCAGTACTGTTAGCTAGGTAGATTAACATTAGGCCAAGAAACATACTTACCCTGAGCCAAATCCCAGTAACCATAATACACCTAGTATCGGCAGTTTAGTTAGTTTAGCATTAGCAAAAGTAGTATAGTTAGGTTACAATTAGCTCCTGTAGAAGTGTAAGCTAAGTCTTGGCTCTTTATGACTTTAGCCTTAGGCCCAGTGAATTAGTTGGCCTAACGTTGGACACAAGTAGTACGAGTACAAGAAATGAATTGTTTCCACATCATCATGTTGATTTAGATGCCAATAAAACCCTGGGAACATACAGTAAGTATTAGTAGACCTTGGTTTCTTTGTGGTCAACATTAAAATACTTAATGGAAAATGTACACAGTAAAATCTGGTACACAGTTCTTCCTCTACATTAAAAGGAATTTGATCATTTAATGTCTATTTGGAATAATTTTCACATTTTTCAGTCATAATTGATGATGTAAAAAGAAACAACGCAGAGGAACTCTGATTACATTTCCCCATGTGTGAATTGATTCCAGGTCATTCCAGTGGAATAAATGTGAAATCCAGTTTGACTTAATAATCAGTGCCTTTAGAGGCTGCCTAAGTACACATGATGTGAACTAGTGTAACATCGTAAATGTGGACAGACGATCAGTTTCATCCAGTTCTGGATCCAAAGACTAAAATAAGACGCAGATAAATAGATGTAAAACAGTGATGTCACCTCTTTAAACGCCATCACTTCTGTCATGTTATGTTAAGGACACGGACACACACACACACACAGACACAGACGCGCACCTTCCTGCCTTCCTCATTTCTCGCCCTTCAACTTGTCATCGTATTTCCCAGCGTTCTTGTACGCTCCCACATAACCTGTGTTCTCCACCAGGTCCTCGCGACCCTCACGACCTTTGCCTTTGCCGCTCTCATCGAAGCGTTCCTTGTGTGACCCGGTGTAGCGGGCCGTGTCAGTGAGCCGGTCCACAGCTCCTGCTTTGGTCACTTTCTGATAAAGACACAGAAAAACAGAATGAAAATCAGAACTGCTGAGAGTCAAGACAATTTAACCATTTTTTGTGTTTGGACAGGAACTGTCTTTGGACGAAATCAAGACGACATATACATGAAGAGCATTCAAGTGAAGAATTTCCACGAGTGTAACTGAAAGGACTCATGGACAGAGGAAGAAGAAGACGACAAAGACGAAGAAGGTTCTGAAAATCTGCACCTATACTTCAGTCGAACCGACGTCAGCGGTTCGACTTCTTCCTACAGCAGGACCCTCACGACGACTGACAACAGTGTTGTGTGGTGTAAACAGGTGAGGTGTGTTTTGTTGGACAGGTGTTGATGTCACGTTGATGATCTCCTGTTCACAGCCTCTGGTTTCAGGTCAGGCTGGTGGTGGTTTTTACACCGTGCCTGTTTGATATCGTGTATCATGTAACACTGTCTTTCCACACAGTGTTGTCTCACCGTCACACCAGTGTTGGTCGGTCCTCCTTTTTCCACCAGCCTGTAGATAGACATTAGCGCCTCCTCCTGGCTTTGTCCTCTGAAACGCTTAGGAGCGAGGTCCTGCAGGGCTTTGAGGAACTCTGGGTAAGTGATGACACGGGAGGTCTTCTGCCTGTTCTCAGACACACACACACACACACACAGAAGAACAAGGTCTTAGCTAACATGGCTAAAGGATGATCGAAGCAGGTTTGTTACACATAGTTCAAAACAACAGAAGAAGAAATCAACGACTGTTTAAGGCCTGGAATTTTATGGAATAGTTTTGGTCATCAACTTTTCCTGGGTGAAGAGTAAAAAAAAAAGGTCTAACTAACTAAGGTGCTAACATGCTATGTGCTAGTACACAGCTAACATGCCACTTATGTACATGGTAATCAGCTGAGATGGAGAACAAGAAGAAGAAAATTAAGGAGGACAAGGTGGAGGTGGAGAAGACGGAGGGGATTGATGAGAAGAAGGAAGTGAAGAAAACTTTAGACCAACATCTTCAGTGTCCAGTTAAAGTCTGTGATTTCCTTCATATATTTTAATACTACATGTTTCCTGAGCCTAGCCCCAGTCATTCCAGGAAGGTCCATTCAGGACCAGGTCCAGCACTCACTTGACTTTGGAGAACACGATGTCAACGTCTGTACTGGTCACGTTCTTTCCATCGATGATCTTCGAGTCCTTGCAGAGTTTGGCCCAGTTCTTCCCGTTCAGTTCTTTTCCCGTTGCTTTTGTGTCTCCGTGAATGGCAAACCTTTTAAAAGCCTCCTGGAGATGCTCCATGTCAGCGCCCTCTGCCATGATGGAAGTGATCTGCAGGGAAAACACCAACAACTGCTTCACAGCAACGTTCACTGGAGGCAAAGTGCACTAATGAGTCGAAGCATAGATCCAAAAAAAAGAGGAAAGGTTCTGGTTTGGGTCTGTCCTCCATCGGTCCTGGTCCACCTGTTTGTTTGGTCAGCTTTTCTATCAGTTCTGGTGAAAAGTGACAACACTTAGACATCCCATCCATTCCTGTTCCTGTGGAAGTCAGTTGAGTCCTGCTTATTCATGGTATTAGTTTTTTAACCATTGACGTGACTGCCCCCTGAGGCATGGAGAGTCACTACAAGTCTCCTTTCTGTGTCCTTAAAAACATGTGGATAGTGTCATCAAAAATAGATGAGTGAGTGACTGTGTGTGTGAAACAGTCCTGGACTTAACGACAGGTGAAGGAATGTATGAATGAATGATCAAATCAAAGACATCCAAGTGTTCTGACTACAGTTCACCTGTGAATAAAAGTTCAACCAAATCAAATGTTTTGATTCAACAAACTCCTCATTTCAGTCTGCAAAATGATATCCCTGTCTGTGTGTGTGTGTGTGTGTGAGCTATTGCAGTTAAACTGGTGCACACACATTCAAACACACACAGCTTCTGCACAGATTTGTACTTAAATATGTTTTTCACAGATCAATAAATAAACATCAACACAGTAATGATGACTGATGAGGATGATGATGGACATCTTACCTGTGTCTCAGTGTCTCCCCTGTCCCCCTGTCCTTCTGTGTCTGTCTTCCCTCTCCTGCGTGTCTCCACAGCAGTGTCTGAAGCTCTGAACTTCACACGCTCTTGTTGTCATGTGTTTACCCCATCCCCATGACGACACCCTGTCCAACAGGGGAGGGCAATCCAAGTCAGGGAGGAGGGAGAGGAGGAGGATGGGGCGGGGGGGCAGGGGGTAAGAATGGGTTAGAACTGCAGCTCCAGCTAGCTGCCCCACTCTCACTGTCTGGTCGTCTTGACCTTGTGTGACCCTCGACTGTCTCACACAGTGATGTCACAGTGTTATTGTTTGTTACAGTGTCACCGTCACCTTCATATTTACCTTCTACAGCTCACTGCTTTACAGGATCCAATTCCAGCAGTCGTCAGGCGAGGGCGTGGCATCTCCCGGGCATCACGCAGGCCACATGTTGAGACCACCATTCTCACGCACTCAGACCTACAGTGGATTTAGTGTAAAAAATAAACCTGGACTGGGAAGGATCCTGGAAAAACAACATGCACAGAAAGACATTGTGAGGCAACAGAACTCACCACTGACCACCGTGTGGCCTGGTTACCATGGGGACAGAATTATGTAAATCAGTAATATGATGACAAATAGAGGGACTTTTACATTTGTCCAACTACTTGATACCATCAGTGTTATTAGTTTGAGTCAAATCATGAGTAAGCTCCAGTCCATCTGGCTACTGGTACATGTACCACATGGGTCTCATGGCTATAAATGAGACCAGCTAACGATTAAGTGGAGTGTTTTCATCATTCTGACTTAAACCAAGGGAACTTTTGTCATCTTATTTTATTTATCACTTGGAAATTTTCAACAGAACAAAACATCAGTTCAGCTTCTGTGCAGCTTAAATTAGTACCAGGCTTACAGTTGGCTCAGCAGCATCAAAGCACACGTGTTAGCATAGCAACAGGATAAGTGGAACAATTCAGTGTAGCATTAAACTCCCCAGTACTGTAAATGAGTGGTTCTCTGAAGTCTTTCTTTAACAGGACTTTTACCTGTGTGAAATATTTTGACACCAAAGTTCTCCCTGATCAGCTTGAGGCATTCTGGCAAATTGTTTTATACTTCAGGTACAACCAGGGAAAGGCGTACCCCGTTTGAGAACCACTATTATGAATCATGTGAACTGTAAAGACTGTAAACACAAATGAATTAGGACACAATGAAAAAAACAAAAACAAAAGTCAGCTTCACTCCTCAATAGGTTTGTGTGTGTGTGTGTGTGTGTAGAAGGTGATTACCTCATGTGTGAGCAGGAAGCAGCTGTCATTGTGGTAACAATCCTGGAAGAAGTTTGCTTGTTGAGGGTGGGGTCTCTGGGGAGGTGGTCACGTGACAGATCAGGTCTCAGCTGTACATCTGCGCGCACACACACACACACACACACACACACCCTTCATACGGTTTTGTGGAAAATCAATAAGAACTTCTTTATTCAGCCTCAGCAGAACCAGGACCAGGACCAGGATCAAGGTCTGCACAGGTGGTCCAGCCCAGGGGCCACGCCCTGCCTTTCCCACCTTACCCCCCCTACACCTCCCCCACACAACTAGGTCTTGAATTCTCACCTTGAACTGTAAAAACCTTGTGGCTCCAGGGTTTCAGCAACTGTGGGTGTCCTCATTACAACTGTATAAACACACACAGAGACACACAGAGACACACACACTCCTTTTTGATTAATAGTGTTTTGATGTTGATGCAATTGTTGCCACAGCAACACACACATACACTTGTGCAGCTATTCTTTCTAGGACTTCATCAACTGACATTCATTCAAACCAGAACTTTACCCCCGACCCTCACTTTAATCTACGTCTCTCTCTCTCTCTCTCTCCCTCGCTAACGCACACACAAACACACAACACACATACATTTACTGTCACTTAAAACCAGGTCAGCACTATAACTGTTAGCTGGGGTACCGACAAGTGTAGCATTCTGACAGTAAACAGAAGTAAACAGTTGTTGAGATGTGCTTGGAAACAGAGGGGAACTGTTAGCTTAGCATCAGCACAGTAAAATGAGATCAGCTGCTGCGTTAGCATTACAGCTGTGAAACAATTTTGAAAGATTAGCAATGTGAATGCTGACAATGAGAACCAGTTGGCCTAGCAATACTATATTCAAATACAAATCCAATTAACAACTGTGTATAAATAATAAAAAAACGGCTTTATTCATTCTTTTAAATTAAAAACCTGTGACACTGTTCAGATCATCAGCTTCACATTCAGTTTTCTTTAAACAGAAACATGTGAGAACAGGAAATGATGTCAGTGTGTTTTTTCAAACCCATCGTCCCTTCCCTCTGGTGCTGGGTAACCACGGTGACCAGGAAACAATACAGAAACAGAAACAGGGTGTGTGTGTGTGTGTCTCCACATGATCAAAGAAACAAACACATATGATTTTCATGTTTACAGTCCAGTAAAAAGCTCAGCTTTAGACCAAGTGTGCACATATGACATCACAGAACTTGTCAAAGAACCAATGGTGATGTCACAGACCTGATGGTGATGTCACAGACCTGATGGTGATGTCACCTTTGGCCTCAGATTTTTTAAAAAAATGACCCACAAAGAGAATGGAGCTGCCAGAGACTTGTTAAAGTCAAGTCCAATGGGACCATGTGAGATCGACCACTCATTCACTCTGGTCATCGTTCCATCCACTGGGCTGAACCAGAGTTCAGTGAAGCCCTAGACACTGGTCTGGAACCAGACCTGGATGCAGGTCTGGATCCGTACTGCCGGCGGCCGAGACTCTGTCCTTCTTCCCGGGTCTCCAAGGCCTGGTTGCTTGTCCGGCTGACAAAGACGGCAGGAGGATGAGTGGAGGCCATCTCAAACCGTAGCTCTGCTGTGCTCTTATGAGCGCGGGAGGAAGTAGAAGAGGAGAAGGCTGCGGCCTTCCTTTTAGTCATGTGGGTCAGGGAGGGTAGCAGGAATCCAGGGATGGTTCTGTGTGAAGACCCAGTGACGTCTGCAGAAGATGAGGAGCCCAGTCTGGCTAAGGCCACGGGGATCTCCTCCAGAGACTCCGCAGAGTCAGAGTGGTACTCAGCAGGAGGGGCAGCAGCCTGGACAGGTCCTGGGGGGAGGGTAAGTGGAGGCAAAGATGCTCTCAGAGGGAATGCTGGGAAAGGAAGTCGCTGACCCAAGGACACTGAGGAGACGCTGCCCAGCTCTGCTGCTCAACAACAAAAAAGCCAAAAGGATAGAAGGATAAATAAATTACTTGATGAGTAAGAAGGACTGCCCCCTGGCTGTTGTAACATTGCATTGCACAACGATTTGTTCTTTTACCTAGGAATGTCCATTAACTTTTTGCCGTTATCCAATATGCTGATCCAGTCCAAACCCTTCATTTCCGATTCCGATATCATCGAACATCCCTACCTTTACCTCTTTGATGCTATGCAACCCGTTTTGTGTGACCAAAATGTTTTTTTGCCTCTGTGTGTGTCTGTTTGTGTGTACCTGTGGGTGGGGCAACACTTGAACATCGCTCTCTTTCCTTCAGTTCCTCTGACGGGACCTTTCGAGCTTTACTCTTCTTTTTCTGAAAAGGTTTTTAAAAATTTACATGAATTTACCCCTTCATATATGAATATGTGTATGTGTGTGTGTGCATGTGTGTGTTTGTATACCTGTGCTCGTTGGTTTGTGTGTGCTGCAGCTTTCACCTGTGTGGAGACGGTGGAGACAGCTCCATTCTCCATGACAGGACTGGACACACTCCTCCCCCTGTCGTTAACTCTGAACCTGAACACAAATATGTAGGGGACCATTAAACCATGAATACGTTTGTACAGTCCAAAGTAGGTTCACCTGTGTGACATTTGTGTATTATATACAGTAGTATTTATCACTGTACCTTGGCATGGACCTGCCATGGTCCACACCTACTGGGTCACTGACCCTAACCCTACCTGCCAACTCTCCTCCTCAGTCTAAAACACCAGACAGGAGCCGGAGTTCAGACTGAAACGGTCCATCACTGAACAACAGGTCAAAGGTCACTGCCAAAAATAAAGCCAATGGGATGAAATAACCAGGGGCTGGAATCATGTTCCACTTGAACCACTGACTTGAGCACCCCCTGCAGGGAGGAGGGAAGCTACATGCTTTTTGTTGAAACAAATTTTATATTCCATAATGACATCATTAAATATTTTATATATAAAAAGAAGTACTTTTCAGCAACAACTAGCTGTAAAATGAACATCAATGAAAAAGATTGACTAAATGACACATCAACCTGTCTGTTAGTGTCCAGTGAGGTATATTTAACTATAATCAAGATAAAAAAAACAGACACATACACACACCCTTTTCCAGGTCACACACAATACACACTTTGTTTCTTCAGGAAGTCAGAGCCAAAGAATTCCACTTTGTTGACTGTAAAGAAAACTGTCTCCATGGTAAAAGGCCCGGCCTCACTGCATTATGAAACAACTGTTTCTGTCTGTTTACAGAACCCGGTCACGACTGCTCGGCCAATCAGAGGAAGCTCACACTGGGCTACCTGGACATGTGTGTGTTCACATGTGTGTGTGCGCGTGCGTGTGTTTGTGTCTTACTCAGACTCCTCTCTCACACACACTGTGGCAGACTCCTCCACGTTCAGCTGAGGGTTGGTGTAACCCAGACTCCCTGAGTAGTTCATGTCCTGAAGAGGGCAGCAGATAGCAGGCAGTCAGGAAATCAGTGTCAGAAGAGTGTTCCCACGCAAAGATTGCATTTTACCTTTAGAACTGAAGGAGGCATTGTGTCTTTAAGTGCTTCAGGTTTTGAGTCTCTGTCGTGACGGTGGCGCTGACGTACGATGTACTCGTAGGTGCTGAGTCTGTTCCACACTGACAGACACAGAGAGTTGTTTCAGTCACTGTCATCAGTTCAGGCCTCACGGCTACAGTTTCACTGATTCATCTGACATCACGGCAGCTTCACACCAACACTGGTCTCTTCACAGGACACTTCTCTGAGTGTTGGCCAGTATTATCTCCCCATAGACTGTGCTGAGCTCAAAATCTGTCTCTTTGTAAATTAGCCACTGGTACACCTGTGAAGTTTGACATCAGCCTGATGCTGGACTTTAGACACTGCCTTTTTAACTATCAAAAAAACATATATATAAAGTAAAATACAACTGTACTCTACTAGGGTTGTGTAAGAATCTGGCGATTTGTTGCCAACGATACTTTACACACACACACACACATATATATATATAGCGATATACTGCGGTCCTATAGGCACAGATACATTGAGTATATTGAGTTGATATATTGTATAACTATATTGTAGTCAAAGTGTGATCATAGTAAAGACTCTGCTGCTGTTCCATCTGAACATCAGGTACTAACACTGGAACAGAGGGATCTACATTTGGAATCACTAGAGGAAAAAGAAAATAATAAGAAAATGAACCAACAGGAATATCTGACTGGAGATTAGTGTTAAAAAATCAATACACTGATGGAGGAGATTGATTCGGTATCAGGAAAGGAAATAAATCAATATTTCAGTGTATGGATATTTCCTTAAACCCTTGTACTCTACAGATGATAAAGCCGTTCAGCTCAGCTTAATCAAGCACCCAGAGGCAGAGTGATGCCAGTGATGCCTACACTGTCCTAGAAAACAATTATCTTGGACCGCAGCAGTGTTACTGCTCATGATATGAATGAGTGCACTTCTCTTTAAGGTCTATAGGGGTTATCATTCCTCATGTTCTCCTGTAGCACATACTCAGGTACAGGTGGAAACACAGCAAGTGACAGAGCAGAACCGACGACAGCAGACCCAGAGCGATGGTGACGGCAGCCAGACATGGAATCACTGCAGCTGCTGATCGGAGAGGTGCTACAGGCAGAAAGACAAACCACACACCCGTGTCGTTCCTCACTGACACACGCACACGCACACACATACACTCTTTAGTTTTGTAACACGTCTTGACGTAATTACAGATAAAACATCTCTGGTCCAGTTCTCACCGAGGAAGTGTTTGTCAGTGCGAAGTTTACTTGGGTCCAAAAAGAACTCGATAAAGACGTAACAGGCGACGACAAGAACTAGACACACACCAACTAGGGCAGAGCCAACACTGTGAAGAAACAGCCTACAAACGTACACACACACACACACACACACACACACACACACAATATGAACAAATACAAACTTTGTCTTTAGAATTTTGAAAGGATTCAACATTTAACTGTCAATATTGTAGATGAGGCCCAAGGCAAACTCTGGACCAATCAGAACATGACACATACACAGTGATAGGCTGAAGACTGAATCTAGTCTGGTGAGTGCAGCCCACCTGTAGTTCCTGCTTCCCACACAGTTGTTGAGCCACCGACAGTGATGGTCAAAGTTGGCTACACATTTGTTACAGGCACTGCAGTGTTTAGATTTGGGTCCTCTGTTAAAAAAAAAAAAAAAAATTCAAATGTGAGGTTAAAGTTTAAAAGTAATAACTGAATATTTATCTCAAAAGTAATAACTCTTTAGCTAGTGGTCCAGCAGAGGGCGCTCTAAGAACAGCTTGACTTCAGTTGTATTTATGTATCTTCTGTGGGCAGCTGAGGGTCAAGGTTACGGCCCATTCTTCATTTCCTCATCTCAGGTCAAATCCTGACAAATCCTGTCATTTTAGCAGGCCAGGGCACAGCCGTTGCTACTCTAGCACTCTCCTGTGGCCAGTAGGGGTCACTGAAGTTACTTATAATAATGGTGTTTCAAACAAAGTCATCAACTGAGGAAGGCTGCTGTCGAACTGCAATCATTGGAATTGTCATGTGAAATCAGTAGTTTTATCTGAGGACTTTTGAGAATGAACACTTGATTGAGTTCAGTTTCTAAAAGTTTACCACAGTGGTGTGTTGACTGAGCAAGCACGGCTCCCCGGGGTGGATGGGTTAAATAAGTTCGTTATGTGGATTCTAATAAAATATTATAAACCGAGGCCGACCTAAATTTTCTAATTTAAAACTAACTTACTGTGAATGCTGCTTATTTTTCTCACTACACGTCTTGACGTAATTACAGATAAAACATCTCTGGTCCAGTTCTCACCGAGGAAGTGTTTGTCAGTGCGAAGTTTACTTGGGTCCAAAAAGAACTCGATAAAGACGTAACAGGCGACGACAAGAACTAGACACACACCAACTAGGGCAGAGCCAACACTGTGAAGAAACAGCCTACAAACGTACACACACACACACACACACACACACACACACACACAATATGAACAAATACAAACTTTGTCTTTAGAATTTTGAAAGGATTCAACATTTAACTGTCAATATTGTAGATGAGGCCCAAGGCAAACTCTGGACCAATCAGAACATGACACATACACAGTGATAGGCTGAAGACTGAATCTAGTCTGGTGAGTGCAGCCCACCTGTAGTTCCTGCTTCCCACACAGTTGTTGAGCCACCGACAGTGATGGTCAAAGTTGGCTACACATTTGTTACAGGCACTGCAGTGTTTAGATTTGGGTCCTCTGTTAAAAAAAAAAAAAAATTCAAATGTGAGGTTAAAGTTTAAAAGTAATAACTGAATATTTATCTCAAAAGTAATAACTCTTTAGCTAGTGGTCCAGCAGAGGGCGCTCTAAGAACAGCTTGACTTCAGTTGTATTTATGTATCTTCTGTGGGCAGCTGAGGGTCAAAGTTACGGCCCATTCTTCATTTCCTCATCTCAGGTCAAATCCTGACAAATCCTGTCATTTTAGCAGGCCAGGGCACAGCCGTTGCTACTCTAGCACTCTCCTGTGGCCAGTAGGGGTCACTGAAGTTACTTATAATAATGGTGTTTCAAACAAAGTCATCAACTGAGGAAGGCTGCTGTCGAACTGCAATCATTGGAATTGTCATGTGAAATCAGTAGTTTTATCTGAGGACTTTTGAGAATGAACACTTGATTGAGTTCAGTTTCTAAAAGTTTACCACAGTGGTGTGTTGACTGAGCAAGCACGGCTCCCCGGGGTGGATGGGTTAAATAAGTTCGTTATGTGGATTCTAATAAAATATTATAAACCTAGGTTGACCTAAATTTTCTAATTTAAAACTAACTTACTGTGAATGCTGCTTATTTTTCTCACTACTCTCACCTCTCCTGTCTAACCCACAGGGATTTACTCCTGACTCCAAGAAGCAGCAGGCTGTACTTCTGCAGTGTTCCCAAGAGGTGGGAGTGTTTTGGTGCCTGTCTGTGGCCAAAGTCAACATTTTCATTTACTAATAATATGTAAACACAGAGAAGACATTTGCTCCTGAAGGAAATGAAGATCTTTGTTACTCACACGTCCACCTGACAGAGGTAACAGTGGCAGTTCTCGATGACGTGGGCATGTTTGGAGCGATCAAACATTGGTACGGGTCCTTTGTGGCTCTTTGTCCGAACGTTGGAGTCGGCCGGGTCGACGGACACTGCCATCACGTGAACACATAAATGACAGACAAACATGATGCCCGTGCACTGAGATGTAAATCAGGACTCAAACCATCAACTCTGGATTAAATCTACAGAAAACAGAGGTGGCTTAAGGATACAATGTAGCCAGCAGGTATCCAGTGAGCAGGCAGCAGGGGAACAAACACTCCCAGGCTGGTAATGGCAAAGTAAATGTAGAGCAGCCAGGCCAACAGCTGGAAGGGGTGAGGAGGCCAGCTCCAGCCGTTGGTGCGAGAGCAGAGCGGCACGTCCACACGGTGAGGGCTGTCCTCGCTCACTGGTGCTGTTCGATTTGGATTCCTACGGCACACGTCCATCCTGTGTATTTAGAGGTTCTGGTACAGTTTATCCATTTTTAAACACTATACCAATTTAAGAGCAATAAAAAATCCTGTCAGTTAAATACGGCAATTATGATAATGATGAACAAATACAGACAATATTCAAATTATTATTATCTTTTTTTAATAAGCACCTCTTGCTTTTGCACACACTGATTTAAGTATTAATGCTAATACTTCAGTTAATGAAATGAAGGTGAAAGTCCAAAGTCAAATATTAATCAGGGATTTTTTAAATTATTTTTATAATTAAATACTTAAAGTTTAATGTACAGATGAATTGAAATTCACCAATTCATTCAATTCCTGTCTCCAGATTATTTTAATCCAGATTACCGACGGTGTGATTTGCACACTACTGTTCTGACTCTGATGACACCACCGGCCGCTTCATACTATTGATTTTTACTATCGACCTCTGACTGAACTAACCAGATCCTGTGGGCAGCAGATCTCCAGGTTTACCTCAGTTGCTCAACTCGTGTTAACGGTCCCTCCGTTCCGCAGCATCTCCTCCCAGGAACTGAGCCTGAGCAGCGGCTGACAGTTCTGCAGTCTCGGCCCTAAAGCCAGTTCACAGCCACACACTTTCCTCGTGAGCTTCCGTCCATCTTGTGGGTAGACAGCGGAGCTGGTGCCCTGTTTTGGTGACCACAAGAGAAAAAGTGCCCCGTTACATTCATTTACACATAAAAACCGCTAACCACAAACTAACCTGCTAACCGATCGGTGCTAAACCCGACTCATTCTGCGCATGTGTGACAGTGCGACCGCTTCCTGTTTTGCGTCAAGGTGAAAAAATCCTGATGTTTTATGGTTTACCGATAAAGAATTTGGTCTTAATAACAATTTAAAAAACACAAGACGTTTTTGATTTACAACGTTTTGGAGCCAGTGTATAAGGGTAAGCTGTAACCAGACGACTGCTGTTTCCAATGGACAGCATCGGTGAGATTTAATGGTGTATGAAAATGTAGCAATTTTCCAGATTCCGTTTTTTGTTTTTGCATTTTTGTTTGTTCAAATATATTCCGACTTAGCTTATTAAAATTCCCTTGACATTAAATTCACACATTCGAATTTTTATTTATAAAAAAACCCCAAAAACTGTGAGCATTGGAAATTCGAGGATAGTCTCGAGTCATGAAGGCAGCAGAGACGGAAGATGAAGCCGCAATGCACGTGCGCAGAACAGATCAGGAATCCCGAAGGGACACGATAACCATAAACTAACCTCCTACTTCTCTTCGTTCACTGGACGATCTTATTTTCAAGTTGACAGACCGGTGAAGCGATGACCTGATCTCAGTTTAAATGTCTATTTTGGTCCACTGACTGTCCGTCAATCAGACTGTTAGCTTAGCCCGTTAGCGGTTGTCATTACTGTCTCCAGCGTCAGCTTCTGAACGCCGTAACCATGGAAACGCTCTTAGTCTTCTCTCATTTGTCAGTTTATCTAAGCGCCGCCTCTGCCAATTTAATTGTATCTGAGTGGAAAGAAGCTGCGCAATAGCAGCGCGTCCAGCAGGGGACAGCACAGTATCCCTATCTAGATATGTTCAGTTACTTGTTAACCACCAGCCTCACGTCCACTGTCTGACCACATTTTACTGCGTAAATACACGTACTTACACGTACCCAGCTACAGGATTACTGGCCACAAACATTAACTGTCTCACTGTCTAGCTACATTCTTAGAGGTCAACAAAATATTTCTCTCCACCGACACTGTCCAGGGTGTGTTACTACTAAGAATACAGCTACATGTCTATTAACTAACAGCTGCATGTCTGCTGTTTGACTCTCTGTCCATGGTCTGACTACATCCCACTTGTTGATACACATATGGTATTGTCCAATGACATGTTTCAATTCAAGAACAGGTCCACTGTCCAACTGCACATGAAGTGTCCAATAACAACTTTGTCTACCGTTAGTAGTTATGTCAACAGAATTGTGTCCAGCTAAATGTCCAACAACGTCCACTATCAAACTACAAATTCACTTCTTGACAACTCATTCTAACACAGTTATATACCTAACGATGTCGATTTATTAAATCTATTTTGTAAAGTCAAAGTCCAGTTTCTCAGGTACTGGGAGATCAACCACATGTTTGTCCTTTTGAGATGGACCATGTCTAATTAGACACTCACTGTCCAACTACATGTCCACAGACCAACGATTAGAATATTATTATTATTTTACTACTAGTCAATTTAAACAAGCCTGTGTTATTACTAAGGTTGTGTCCTCCATGGTGTTTGTCCTACAATAACATTTGTGTCCAAGCATCACTGGGTCCTTGACTGGATTAACCCATCGTCCCGTACTCAGTGTCCAGGGTTGTCCCGTACTCAGTGTCCAGGTTTGTCAGTCCTTGTTCTGCGTTTTAAGCTGCAAGGACAAGGTACCAGCTGACACCTTTGGTAAGCTGGTAGAAGGTCATCTTTATCTTCCTGACTGAGTGAGGACATGGAGGACAGAAGACCACATGGGACTTAAGACATCAAATTATTGGCCATCGTTTACAAATTTGACATTACATCTAAAAAAACCCAACAACATTAAACTACTGACCGTAAACTTAAACAAATGAAAATGTTCCCTGGAGTCACATTAACAAAGGAGTTTCCTTTACATACAGAAGTCTGTGTTGTACGTAGTCCAGTCTATGGTTCAGGTTCTAGCTCCGTAATCCTTGTCAGCATTTGACATATGTCTTTGTTCACATGCAGTGTTGATGAAGCAAAAAATATTAATATGAAGCTAAAAGTATGATAATAAAGGTTTGGAAAATTCAACAAAAAAGATTTGACCGACGTCTGTCGTTGGTACAGTAGAAGCAGCTGCGATGGCGTCTTGATGGTGTTATCAGTATCCCTTTGATACTGACATAGATCAAATGGAAAGACAGCCAGAACAAGGTCTTTCCAGTCAAGGATGGTGGAACACAAGTGTGACTAGAGGACAAAATTATATTGGAGGACGGTGTCATGTACAACCTCAAAATACAAAAGTCACTGAGAACACACAGTAAGACCATGTTCTTTAGACTCTACCACCGAAACTGAATGCTCTTTTTCCTAGTTGATGTGAAGACAAATACAGTTGCAAGTACTGCTTAAAAATAAGATCTAAAATATGTGTGAATTTAAAGATGGAAGTAAAAATGGTAGTCTTCTTATGAACAACAACAACAGCTACAGAAGTATCAGGAATGAACTTCCTCCTTGCTTCAAATAAAGCTTTTAGATTTAGATTTTTAACCAGCTGTGAAGATCAAAGTGCAAAACGTCATCAATTCAAATGCCCAAATGTGGCAGTGTCTGTCCACCGCGGGTTTATCCGTTCTGACAGGAACATCAGGTCATATTCTATTTTGTAAAAGTCTAGCTGAATCCTGCTAAAGCTGTACCCTGTCCATGCTGCGCCTTCTGCTGCCAATCTCCTTAGCAGCTCACCTTACTACCCTGTCAGGAACATTAGGTTTAGAACACTGACCCCCGCACATAGTATTTCCTCCTGCTCAAAACAACAACCAGACAAACACTAAGACAAACCTCACTCCACACATGGACCCACTTTTGGAAATGAAACCGAATTGTCCCGGTTGTTTGAAGCAGTGATTCATAAAAAGTGTGCCGTAAGATATCATTAGGTGTGCCGCAGGAAATTATTTCAATTAACTGGACTGAAAACTCTAATTTATTTATTGCAAATTATTTTCTGTTGTTCGTCAAACAGTGGGAATGTGGGAGAGTAGGACAGCCGGTGAGGGACACAGTCGTAGGGATAACCTACTGTAGGAACTGTATGGAACTACAAAGGATAGTCAAATAATGGGAATCGGTGATGGAACAGTAGACCAGGGCAGTGGGACACGAGGACAGTAAGACAGTGTTCCTGACAGGCTCTGTCAGGAACACTCAGTCCCACAGACTTCAGTGCATGTGAGATAACAGATTAAATGTTATGACATTAGAGCAGCAGCCCCTCACCCCTCAACCTCTGAGCACACAGTGGTCTTCAACAGCTCAACGTAAAGAAAAACATTTTAATAAAGAAAACACAAATGATAACGGATGACTTTGTACTATCTTTTCAATGACTGAATCTAAAAACAAGACTTAAAAATCAAACACTTGCCATTTCATATCCGTTTACATTTTTTAACCCAACAATGTACTGCTGTTTGTAAACCTGTTGATTACAGCTTTAAAATTGACTCATCTCCTGGAAGGCACTCTGTTTGATTCGGTTTATCTTCTATCTGTCAGTGAAGATGCTCAGGTTCCAGTGGTGAGTTTAGGCACCATCAGAGAATTGGTCAATTGATTTCAAGCAGGTTAAAGTTCACTGGTCTCATCTGATCAAATGCTGCAGGTTTGCGTGCTAACAGCTGCTGTAGAGCACTGACACACTGACCTTAATCTGAAACACCTAAGAACGGTTAAGTCCAGAACAGGGGGAGGCAGGGGGGGGGAGTGTCTGCAGGCAGAGCAACCCCAAGCTGGGACTCCTGCCATGTACCCATGCCTCTGCCCTGCCCACCCCCATTGTTCACTCTTGTTTGTTCACGTCACTGCTTGAACCCCCATGAACCTCTGATCAGTGCAGTCTGCAACAACAATTAAAGGCTTTGAGCAAGTTAATGAGGTCAAAGGTCACATGTCTGTAAAGCCTAGACAAATAAAAAGAATAGACTAATACAGACTGGAAAGGACTACCCTCATAAACTACAACAGACCGTCATAGACTAAAGAACAGGTGAATATATCATGCTCTAAAATAATAATTCTACAGCAGAGGAGGGGCGAGGGAGGAAGAAATCATTACTGGAAAGGAAGGTGAAGGGGAGAGAAGACACTGCTGCTTCTATCAAAGACATGTGGCTAAAACTCTCAACTCTTCTGATTCTGATCAGAGTTACGCAGAAAGAGCCATGAGCCGGAGCCAAACACATGGTTGCTCTGATCATGAGGCCACCACCTGTGGAACTTTGGTCTGCGGGAAATGGACAAACCATGGTTTTCTGTAACAGTCAGAGGGTAATGTGGTCGACCAGGGACCTGACAATCTATCAACTGGACGATTTGGACTGAGCTGACGAAGGTCTGCATAGGAGAGAAACTCCACACAGAGGTCACTGCCCGGGCCAGCAGATGAGACGGGGGCGGGGGGAGACCAATCACATGATAACTAAAAGGATCAGGTTCAAATGAGTGAGAAGTTAAAAGAGACTGTAGCTGAGGGATCAACCATCTGACTGACAGACCAACTAACCAGCTGCTAAACAGCTAACATACCAATACAGAACTCTATGACTAAAGAACTAACGCGATCAAGTACTGTATTCATTAAAGGAGACTTTGGAAGTAATTAAAAGTAAATAAAATACTTTGTAACCAAATCACGTATTAGGTAACCAGCTAATTTATTTAGAGAAATTAAATTAGCCAACTATCCATCCATTTTCATCCGCTTATCAGTTACCGGGTCGGGGGGGGGGCAGCAGTCGCCACCCAAATCACACTGCACCGTACCAACCCCCCCAAACCTTCATGCGGGTGGTGAGTCCACTGAAAGGTACCAACCACCCTAACCGGGATTTGAACTTGCGGTTCCACACCAATGCCAGAGACATTGCCTCTGGGGCAAAGCGCCTTTAGCTAACTAACTAGTTATATTTATTAATTATCACAAGCAGATAATAATTCATCCAGAAGCTCAGTGTAACTCGGTGTAACTCAGCGTACTAAGTCGTAAGCTTCAGTGAACTGGCCAACAGACTTCCTTGAAGAAAGGTTCTGTTGACTGTGATTACTCAGTAAGGCTCCTGTGATGGCAGCAGTAAATCATTAGTGGACTTCCAGTTCTACGGAAGAACAGATTAAGACTTTGATTCTTAAACATTAGCTAATCTGCACAGTTGATCAGTTCAAATGAACAGCTGATAAAGAAGCATATCAGCACAAAGACATTACACTTAAAAGAATACAAGGAACCAGCTGATCTACGGATCATAAAACAATCAACTTGGATCTGCAGCTGGATTTGTAGTTTTCAAAATAAAAGCACCTCTCTGTCCACATTAAAACACATCCACACAGTAAACAATAACATAACTAGGTCATTTTCACAATACTGCCTTCAGATGTGGACATTAAAATAAGTCTGATTGACTTCCATAATAAAAGTCTGTGTTCAATTCCCATGTAAAACGTATGCCAGTAGTTTTCAGTGAGTGTCTCTGATCAACTCATCCCTACGTAAACATACAGGTTTAATTAGAGTCGCTGTTTGTTCCAGCAGAACAAAACCCTTTCAAAATAAAACTCCTAAATGTGCAATCTCCCAAATTAAAAGTCTTGGCATCACAATTTATACACAACAATTCAGTTTTCAATAAAACTGGATGGAGCGTTGTTAAATTTTTCTTTTTTTTTTTTTTTTAATTAGCAGATAATGAGCGGCAGTGATGTCAAAACAGAACAACCTCTGTTTCATTTGATTTACACACACGACAAACAATGATCCATCAGATTAAATAATAAAAGTTTTCAATAATAAAGACAAAAAACTATGTTCACAGACCAATAAACATTTGTATTCAATTGTCTATGTCCACATAAAAAAAACAAACAGATTCTACTTGATACTGTAGCAATGGACAGAACGTCTGAGTTACTGTTGATCACACTAGATCGGGATCCTGTGGTTTTCAAATTAAAAGTCTGTGTTTATGTCTGTTCACTGTTAAACCCAACAACATTCATGAAATGAGTCCAATCTTGTACACTCTAAAACAGTACCTGTGGTCTTCGGGGGGTAGGAGGGGGTGATTCAAAAATTTTGGCCCACAAAATATTTTCAAAATAAAAGTCTTAAATTCAGGTTGATTTTGAAAATAAAACTCAGTGTTCCTGTTGGTCCACACTAAAATACTACCCCTCACTAAGTAAATGTGTGTATGTGTGTGTGTGTGTGTGTGTGTGTGTGTGTGTATAGAGGAGATGCAGGGCTGCAGTCTGAAGAAGCTCCGCCCTCTTACACTTCTCTTTATATACACAGAGTATGAGAGAGTAGAACCAGCTCTGCACAAAGAGGAGAGGAGAGATAGTGTGTGTTTGTGTTTGTGTGTGTGTGTGTGTGTGTGTGTGAGCAGCAGAGAGTATAAACCTGGGACACAGAAACAGAGGACATACATGAAGACAGAATCAGACAGGGACAGTGTCAGGAGAAAAAGACAGAAAAGGACAGAAGGGTGAAAAGACGGTGTCAATAGAGAAGGACAGAAAAGACAAAGAGTCCAACAGACGGTGAGAGACAACATAGACAGACAAAAATAAGAGTTTGACGAAAAGTTAGGACCGGCTGAGAAAGAGATAGGACGAAGAGAGACTGACAGAAAGCAGGAGGTCAGACTGGACACAGATGTAAAGGACAGAAGCAGACAGGTAACAGACTTAACACAGTGTCTCCAACTATGGAAGACTACACTTTTCCATCATGGATTTACCTCGCAGTCCTAACTGTCTTTGTGGGCGGAGCCACAAAGAAGATCTTGGCTTCTCACCTGAGTCCCACCCCCGTCATGGTTGCATGGTTGGGGGTCACGGTGCTGGTGGAGAGGCTCTGGGCTATCTGTATACCGGCTCTGCTGGTCCTGGTCCTGCTGGGTTTTGTCTGCTGTCTTTACGCTGCCGTCAGGACTCGTCCATCTTCCAGGTTGCCAGCAGAGGGCAAAGCGGTCTTCATCACAGGTAAGAGCAGAGGGTGCAGAAGGTGGCTCCGCCCACTCAGTCAGGTGTGTTTGTTTTGAGTTTTCCACTGTGTGACACAGATGGAGTAAAGGTTAATTTCAGAACACCGACTTTACACTGTTTTATCTGCATCACGTCCTTTGTCGTCTTCTGCTTCAACCTGGGTCAGAGGTGAGGTCACATGACATAACTCTGCCCAACTTCCTCGAGATTCGTGTGAAAAGTTTCTGACTATCTCTTACAGCTGTGTGTGTCCCAGCTGGCCCACAGCCCTTCATGTTAACACAATAATCCCATCAGCAGATTAACGAGCCTTTTTAACGAGAACGTTGTAAACCCTTACATCTAATCTAAAATCCAGACCAAAAGATATACAGTTTTTTCATACCTACATATAATCTGTGATCTTTAACACATTCGATGTCAGAGATAATCTCACTGTTGAACTCACTCCACATCAGTTGTTAAACAGCAGCGACACCTGCCCACAGTCCAAGACACTGCAGGTTTTTAGTCATATTTATATGTGACATAAAACACAGTAAGAACATGCACTGGTTTAACTTTTATACAAAGTATAATTTCCAGTAAATATTTGGCTTCCCAAGTACTGCAGGTATGACCAACATTATATACTGCAGAACAGGTCTACTGTACTGTATCACGTTTAGATAAGTACAGTTAGCTCCAAAATGGCACTCAAATTCAACTCACACACATAACATCAACTATGAGACAGCCACCAGGTACCACTAGTGGTACCACATTTTTCACATTAACCTGAGCATTAACTGTGAAAAATGCTGGAGGTTCTTTACATGTTTGGGGCTACATTTCTGCAACTGCAGCTGGAGATTAAGTCAGGCCAATGGGTGTCCTTATGTCAACGACTGTGAAAAACACTTCATGTCAAAGTGTCTGATTGTAGCAACATTTAAAAACGTGACAGGGGACAGACATTCGACAAGTTTGATGACTTTAAGCTGTTTTTGAAACTTTGAAATCAGACCAACCAAACATGAGTGCAATCATGTTGAAGTGATTGAAGATTTCCAACAGGTTTTGATTTAGCACACTTTTTTTCTTTTCTCAAAACTGAAGGAACATTTAACAGGAACTCGGTTCCAGGAGAAGAAATCAAAAAACGCTGTTGGTGACCTGGTGCGAAAGAAATCCCCCAGAGTTTTACAACAAATCATACCCCATGAAAACTCTGCTTGAGTTTATGCTGGAAGAAAAAAAAACATGTAGCTTTGTCCTCGAACTTTCGACTCACTCTTGTACAATCATCCATCATGAAATATCATTAGGAAAGTGATGATTGGACAAATATTCGTTCTGCAGCAAGACAATGACAGTAAACGCTGCCAATATCACTGGAAACTATCCTCAGTACGAGGAAGTGGAAGTGTATCTGGAACTTAAGACAGACAGAGCTGTGAGAGTCGGAGCACAGTCACACAGTACCGATTAAATCTGCCCTGTTTTTATTCAAACACCGTCAGTGAGCCTGAAGGAAGTGAAGCAGTTTAATGTCCAACCTACACCGATTTGATGTGGAACTGTCGTCCAGTTACTCACATGATATTGTGTTAATTAATTAAATAAGCCACAAAATAAAACACTTTTTTGATATGTTCTGCAACTTAAAAATTATGTTTTAATCTAGCTTTAGTAACACAGTTGTATCACAACAGAGTTATACTCAAGCCTAAAATGCATCAGTTTTTGTTTTTTAGAACTAACCCTGGACTTGTACCCACAACACAGATCCATATTTATATAAGAAGGTCTTTCTGATCACAACACTGTTGTTTTAAGATGGTAAAAAAAATGCTTTACCAGCGAGGAAACTTGTAAACCCGTTTCTGTGTTACGGTAACACATTAACACTGTTTTCATATTAACTCAGTGCCCAGTGTTTTCCTCTGCCACTGAACTTGGACTCTGAACGAAGGTGTGGTCACATGACGTCCGCGCGTTCATCTGAAGGAAGCTAATGTAGGTTAAACAAACGCTGCTCTAATGATCTGTGGGTGGAGCAGGTGTACATGGAAACACCACACTATGTCAGCATTGATGGGGACTAAAACTGATGGAACGTCACCCGTGCTCTGTTGACTGTAGTGTATGTTCAACAGTCAAAACAACCAGGTGAATCAAGTCTCCATCCTGGTACGACTAAGGCTTCAACAATGTACGACTTCAACAATCTAGACAATAGATGGTTAGATAGACAGACAGAAGAATAGGTGGATGGATCAATGTATGTATGTAGGGAAGTATGGATAGATGATTAGGTAGACTGATGAAAGACGGAAGGATGGTAAATAAATTAAGAGAGTTATTAAGTTATCAAAAGTACTGGACAAAACAGCTTACACTGCCTACTAAATACGAATAATACTGCAAATATGTCAGGGCCATCAAGTGTAGGAATAGGATTATATATATATATATTATTTTGATTTTATTAAACACTAAAGGTCTGTGGCAAATTTGGCAGCTGCTTTGCCAGTCCTCGGTTGAGCACTCGTAACTATATATTTCCTCATATCACAAGCAAAATCTTGCAATAGTTGCAGACTCTTAACTTGGAATACCCGGGAAGCTCGTATCTACGGGGTCCCCTGTGTATATATTAGGTTTCTGCTCTTGTCTCTCTGCAGTGGTCCACAGCATTGTGTCAAAGGTCATCACTATGATGTAATGTTCACATGTTGGCGTGACAAAAACACGTTTTAGCAGAATGTACTGTCATCTTTACGTCCCTCGTAACTGGAATTTTTTCCCCCTGAAATGTGGTATAGATCCTGGAAATAAATCACCATTAACGTTCGCCCACACAACAAAGAGTTGAGCGCTCATAAATGTCATGGTCGGGTTCTCTCTCCTCACATCAGTGTACAGAGGTCGCCTGGAGGATAGTGAATGTCACGGCAGCAGGCCTTGAACATTGTTGTGGTCTGGAGGGTTGTGATTAGGAAGTTCCTCCTGGTTTATTACAGTTGTCCCCGGCCCCTCAGAGTGAATCCTGTTTACAAAAACTAACCAAATTTGTAACTGAAACTATAATTTGTAATTTGATCATTCTTAACTCTTTATCTGGACACAGAAACGTTACATTTGTTTGTCTGCTTTAATGATTTTGGCAAAGAGCAACGAGTCACTACTAGGTGGTCACCTCCTCTAACTTTAATCATTTATCAAACCATTTTGGAACTGCGAATACTGAAATGTTGCCATTTTTCAAGTTGAATTTTTGCCTGTTTTACTCTCAACATGACCTGATGATGGGCATGGGCAGTGGTGGCGTAGTGGTTAAGGTAGTGGACTTGGTCCGGAAGGCTTCAGGTTCCAGTCCACCAGCTGCCAAGTTGCCAGCTCAGTGGCAACCTCAGTTGCCACCTCAGTTGCCACCTCAGCACTCAGAGGTGCTCTGAGCATGGAACCGTCCCCACACACTGCTCCCTGGGCGCTTAAAGCTTCCCTGCTCACTTTGGTGATGGGTTAAAAGCAGAGGTCCTATTTTGTTGTGTGCTGTGTTACAATGACAAGTAGTTCACTTTCCTTCCTTCCTGATCAGTCTACTCTTTAAAATGTTGCAGATATTTCTAATAAAATACTATGCTGCACTACAGACAGCCAGGTCAGGGAGACACTCTTTATGTCAAACATGCCATTGTAATTTGGGCAAAATCCATTAGAATCCAATGTAACTCCTGTCCTCTGAGTAAAATTACATTTGTTACAATAAAAACATACAATAACATGTCAGTTGGCTTGGTAAACTGGTTAAGGTGAGTCACCAAAGTATATTTTTATGTACTTTATTCGTTTTCAAAGGAAATTATACCTCTTTCTAGAAATTGTGTTAGCAGTACAGCTAGTTCTGAGATTTAAACTCTAAGCTGTAGAGGTCAGCATGGGGTCGACGGGGAAGAAAGACACATTAAACCATGTGTCAGGAAGCTGAAGGGTTCTGGAAGGAGCCTCGTTCTTCCTGGAGTCAGACGGAGCAGGGACAGGGAGTCACAGCACACAGGTCAAACAAACAGGCAGGATTCAAGGACCTGCCAGACCTGAGTCTGTAACTGATGTAAACCATCAAACAGACCTGTGTGACTGACTTTTACCATTTCATCATTTTCAAGGTTGTGGGGTGTGGGGGTGTAGCCAATCCCCCAGTTCACCACTCATACACCCATCACACTCACATCAGTAAACTATTAAACAATCTACATGCCTTTGGTCTCTGAAAAAACCCAAACTTTTACCAAAAAAGGCTAGAAATCAGTTAGTTGTCAACCCTGGATCCTGGTCAGTGGGAGAAGTCAGTAAACTGGGTTAAAACGTAAAAGTCCCCAGCTGCAACAAACTGGACTCTTATCCAGAACTCCTTCTAAACCACATCTGTCCCTGGTCTTCATCAGCTCCTCTTTCTCCACCACTCCTTTAATCTACTTACTCTCCTGCCTGCCCCCCGCCCCTCTTATCTTAGTTTTTTTCTGTCACTCTTCATTTCTCTGTTCTATGTTGATATTACATTTTGCAGAGCTCCCCACTTTATTTTTCTTAACCTTCCCCTCTCTACCCCCCACCCACCCCCGTCTCTGCACTCTCCTATCGTAGTCATCGCGCCCTCTCTCGCTCCTCGCGTCTATTATCAGATTTCCTGTCAGTGTATATACAGAACTGATCACTGTTGATGAGTCCAGGTCGCCCTAACATATATATTTTTTTCGGAGTTTCTTCCTTCAGTCACATGACCTCTGCTCACAGTTGGACAACACACTTTGTTCCTACGGAGATTCCAAATGATTAGGCAATGCTGTGGTTATGTTGTGTTTCTGCAGCAGCGTTGACAGCAGCAGAGGGAGGTTGCTCAATATCCTCACAGATACTGCTACAACTACCAGCCATCTGTACATCTGCCTCATCCCTTCATTTAGCACCCATCCTTCCTGCCAGCTGCCCCTACATCCATTCATTTGTCCCACAGTCCATTCATCCACATGTCCATCTGAACACACTACATTCATCACAGTATCATCTGCTCATCAGTCGGTACGTCCGGTCGATGGAAGTCTCTCAGCCACTGCATCCAGTCGCCCCACACACATCCATCGATCATCCTTTCATCCGTCCAATTGAAAATTAATCAGTTCACATTCTATTCTTCTTCAATTCAGTATTAGATCATTATTGATCTGCCATCCTTTGGTCCATTTCTCATGGAGCTTTCCCTCCATCAACCGACTGTCTTTCGTTCAGCTACAGAACATGCATCCATCGCTTCACAAAGCCATCACCTCCTTTGTCAACTATTCTCCCATCATCCACCTGCCTGTTCAATCATCCAATGTCCATCCATCCATGCCTGCATGCATTCACAATTTTTTTCATCATTGCACTCATCCATCCATCTAACATTTCTATCTACAGACCAACAACTTCAAAATAACTCATTTCTTAATGGAGTTTCCAGTCAGTGTGATCAGCAGCAGTGACTGCGTTCTTATAGTCACACCTTGTAATTGAACATTTTCCTCTAAGCCGTCCAAATAACACAGATTCAAATATTAAAGCTTTTTTTTGGACACTGACATCTACTGTATAAACATACTTTTCCACCAATGAACTCTAGTGAATAGCAACACTGTCATCTATATGATTATATGATCTAATTATCCTTTTGATATTAATCTGTAAAAAAATGATGACCTCCCTGCAGTACCTATGCAAACTACAACTGAAGAGCTTTTTTTTTAGTGATATTTCAGATCTGGACTGGTGCAGATTATAGATGATGGTGAGCCTTAAATCTGTTTTCACTTGTGTGCCTGCTGGCAGAAATATTTCCACTCACAGATAGCCTCAGAGTCTCGGGCTGGTTCTAGCAGCAGGTGGGAGTCGTAATGCAGTTATTACATATGAGTAAAATTCATAAAAACCGCACACAGAACAAATGTTCAGCCTTGAAGACACCTATGATGTCTATGGTCTATGGCGGTGGTCCCCATCCCTCAGGACGTGGACCGGCACCGGCCCGTGGGTCAACTGGTACCGGGCCGCACAGAAAGAATGCATAACTTATATTATTTCTGTTTAATTTATTATCTGATTCTGAGCAATGTTTTTTTCTTAATAGATCTGCTCTGCCCAGTAACACAATAATATATAACTGCTAAACTGGTTTCTCTTAGAAGCCAATAACATAAAAGATGGCTCAATAAAAGAGCCAATGAGGAGACAGAAGAAGAGCCTACGTCTTCAAAGAACAAGAAAGCTGCATTTAACACAAAATTCCAGAAGTCCTAGTGGAAATATGGATTTATTACGACAGGTTGTTCCCACACACTGAGCCTGCGCTGCATAATATGCGGGAAGCGGCTCTCTAATGAGGCCATGAAGCCTTAAAAACTGCTTCACCACTTGAAGAAAATGGATTCTGCATCAAAGACAAGCGTGATGTTACGAGAATAAAGTTGCATACACTGTGAACAAACATTTATTATTATATTTAGATACTGCTAATAAAGTTGCATACAGTGTGAACAAACATTTATTATTATATTTAGAAAATACACGTTTTTCTGTTGGTCGTACCAGTTTATTCAGTTGTATTTATCCGCCACACATTAAAGGCCGGTCTATGGTGTTCCAGATTTCAGCAAATCTCAATGAGGGCTCTACAGGAACAGGGTCTTCCTGGAAACGTGAGGCTCATCAAGGAGTGTGAACAATGTCATCTGACAGCCGAGCTGTTGGATCATCACTGCAGTGGTGATGAGGACTCACAGAGGAAGCACTCCTCCCCCAGAGAGCTAAACCCTGTTTGACCCACACATCTGTCTTTCTCCGATATTCCTCGGCCACAGAGGAGAAGATATCCTCTCTGTGGAGGGTGGTGGTTAAACACCACCATGATTTACTGATGACTCACACTTCTGTCCTGACCTCTGACCTCTCCCTGTCTCACCTGTCTGTGACTATTCAAACATTTCTGTCTTTAGATCACAGTGGGTTTTGGAACATTCTGTGTGTTTGAAATGCCCCCATCACATGATCCAGATCATATATTTAACATGTCAGTCAGACCACCAAAAACATATACAGCTCCACCCTGTGTTTAGTATAAGCATTGGTGATTGCTAAAAAAAGTTCTGCAAGTAATTGAAATAATTCTTGTCCAATTTTTTAACGTTCATTTATTTTGAATATTTTACTTTTACAGTTCAGTAGCTGACCTCTGGCACTTTGTTTGTTTACTCTTTGTTTCCTCTGTGCTACAGACTTACGTTTAGTTATCCCTCAAACTTTTGAAAACGTAAGCACTCTAGTACTCTATGGCAAATGGATTAAATATATTTCATGTTTTAATTTAACTTTTAGCGTGTGACATTCTTTAAGCTGTTATAATCAAAGTTTATTTGATTATACTTTAACCTTGTTTATTTATTTTTATTTATTACTATTTATTATTTATGTACTTTGTATTTTGTATGTTTACTGTAGCTGATTGTTTATTGACTGCCTCAAATTGTAAGTCACTTTGGATAAAAGTGTCTGCTAAATGTACTGTAATGTAACGTAATAAGACAAGTGGATAAACTAGATCCTAAATTGATAATTTAATCTCTATTTTTTTTTTCATTTATTGACATCTATTTTAGAATGGATTCTTTTACTTTGAAGTTGTATTTGACTGTTACTGTGAAAAAACGTTCCCAGAGATCTCTCATCAACATCTGTTTCTGTGGTTGTTTCACCTTGTGCCTCTGACAGTGCAGACCACTGTTTATTTCTCCTTTAGGGGGCTCACTCTTACATAATCCCACTCAAAGCTAAGTCCATCTCCTGCATAGACACATAAACATCAGTCTGTCCCACGTCATAGAGATGGAAAGGTTTGGACAGACATTTCGCTGTGAAGAAACATGAACCTGCTGAGTCGCTGATGACCTGATGATGGCACTAACAAAATGATCGGACCCACATCAGTTAAAGGCACAACATCCTATATTACTTAGCCCAGGTTCTGCTGATATGTGACCCATTCATCTCAGGATACATGAATGCAAAATAAAGGCCACTACCAAGTATTCAGTGATTTCGATGACTGAGCTTGTGTGGCCCAACATGCGGTCATATGAAGGTAATCCCTCATTTATGTTTGCATTTTGATTGGCCAGTCTTCATTCTCCAAAATGGGCATTATCTAGGTGTAGGTGGGCTGTGGCCCAGTTTCTGAATACCAGATTTGGGTGACAGAAGTTTGAAATTGCAAATGGCAAGCAAAGTGACCAATTTGCACTGTAGATTAGACCCAGACTCTGAGATGAGGGCGCTGCCGTCTCACATGGCTCACACTTAGAGCACTTGTAGTACCTGTAACCGGTTGCTGGTATTTTGTTTATGTGTTTGTGCAGCCAGATCTGGCTGTGTCTCTCATCTCAGAACTCATATTTGGAAGTGATCCAGGGACACAGCGTTAGTGTGAGGCTGCAGGCCAATCCCTAGTGTTGGCACGTGGCCCCCTGCTCTGGGCTGCACAAAGGAACAAATGGAACAGTGTGTACCATGCACGATCAGGTTGTAGGTGTAGGGACTTCTAGTAAGCAGCAGAAGGGCGTGTGGGGGGGCGGGAATGTTTTTTTAACTTCACCACTTCTTTCCTTGCAGTACAGGTTAACACGACTACAGCAGCTTCTAACTGAACTTAGTAAACACATCACAACACACCTGTCAGCTTGGATCATGTGTTCAGACATTTTTCATCTTTTCCTCATGCTGATTAAATACTGTTAGACTTCCCTCATAATAATAATGATGATAATAATAACAATAATAATATGAATACAGTGGGAGCCACGAGATACAAGTTTATCTAGATTACATTTTCCCCTACAGCCTGAAATAGGAACACGTCTTATCATAACTCCTTGTGCTCATTGACTTCTGTAGAATATGTTTTACACTTTTGTGTCACACATTTGTGTCTAAAATTAAGTGTGTCCATGTTTGTTTTTTCCAAGGCTGCGACAGTGGTTTTGGAAATGCTACTGCGAGGCATCTGGATGTTCTAGGCTTTGAGGTGTTTGCCACAGTGTTGGACCTGTCAGGAGAGGGGGCCAGAGCGCTGCAAAAGAACTGTTCCAATCGCCTGACCCTCCTGCAGGTGGATATCACTGAGCCACAGCAGGTGAACCAGGCTTTGATGGAGACCAAGGCCAAGCTGGGCCTCAAGGGTAAAGAAAGGTCAAACCTTCTCAGGCTGACACTAAGCTAACAATGTCAAACCTTCTTCATTCTGGCAGCTCATAGCAGCTAGTGCAGTAAAGCAAACTATTCCCTCCAAGCAAATGCTAAGCTAATGATATGTATTATTAGTTCTCATAATAATAATTACTGTTGTTAATTAACCATGACAAAAATGTATAGCTAATTAACATATTAGTTAATTATCTATCTCAGTCATCTTAAATGAATGATAAGTGTTGTTATGCTAATGAATTCATGTTTGTCCCAGGTCTCTGGGCACTGGTTAACAACGCTGGAGTGTGTGTGAACTTTGGAGACACAGAGCTTTCGCTGATGTCAAACTTCCGCGGCTGCATGGAGGTCAACTTCTTTGGTACGCTGAGTATCACCAAGACCTTCCTGCCTCTGCTGCGACACTCCAAAGGACGCATCATCACAATATCCAGCCCTGCAGGTGTGTATAACTCACACCTACACCACACAGTGACATCGAATGTTCTAGAACTGAGAAATCACATAGAACTTCACGCATGTGAAAATGTGTATATCACTACTCCTCCCTCACTCAGCTGCTGCTGCGTATAGAGTCAATGAATTTTGACAGTTGCCAGATCTCACAAGAGAAAAAAGCAACCCAAATACAAGCAACCCACAACCCACAGAGGTCTCATAGTGAAGGGTCAGGGGTGGGGGATTAAAGAACCTTTACTTTATAAGGTCTGGTGTCCTGGAAAGTTTAATCTCAGAGTTTGCCGTGGACTTTGCTGAGTAAAAGTTGAAGGTTCAAAACTTAAGATAATGACTCTCTACCTGACAGATAAAGCACACTCACTCCCTGGTATATGATGATGATGACGATGATGTCATACTTTTGTTTCCAGGTGACCAGTCATTTCCATGTCTGTCAGCATATGGAGCGTCTAAAGCAGCACTCAACCTCCTCTTCAACACTCTGAGACACGAGCTAGCACCATGGGGCGTTCAAGTGTCCATCATCCTGCCCTCATCCTATAAGACAGGTAACACCATCAGGGTCTCCACCTCAGAGTCCAGACTACACTGGTGAATAGAACTACAGCCCTGTGCAATATTTGTCAACTTGATGCGAGAGTTTAAGGTCACAGTGCAACCGTCTACCTCACTTCATCAGCTACAAGTGGTGTATCCTACACAGCACCACATGTCCCATAAATCATTGCAAGTCTCAGAGAAAAGGTAGCAATTTCAAAAAGAGAGGCAGTGAATCAAATGATCAACGTCATTATAAACCACAAACGGTACACACCTGTGGGTTGGCTGAATGTGGAATCTAAAGGTAAGGCTCAGCAATAGGCCATGGGCTACCCAACCCACATTAATTAATTAAAGTCTTGCATGGTTTGGGTATTAAGAGTGTTGGACAGGAAGCAAAGCTAACCATCTACAGGCCATCTCTTCAAGCAAAGTCTACTTGTCCAAACAGTTTAGCTCCAGTTTTGCAAACGGGGAACCAAAATCATCGTTCCTCCAACCAATCCTGTCTGTGGTGTCTTTTAGCATACCTATAATACCCACTGTACCCATTCTATGGTCAAACGAAATCTTGTGTCGTTAGTCCACATACAATAACAGGCCCATGTGGACCACATCTGAAACTGGATATGTGGGTAGCATCTCTGCCAATGTTAAACCAAATTTGTTCACTGAAGAGCTGGGAATTTCAGCCACTGCCCATGAATTGAGACGCAGCTCAGAGATAGCTGTGAGTAAACACACAGACAGGCCTCCTGCTGGGAGAAGAAGCTCGTGCAAATGAGGACCGCATGTTAGACGGAACACGTGTTCTGGTCCTCTCTTGCTGTGTGCAACTCTTGATGTGGAGCAGATGGATGAACATGAGCGGAACCATGCAGAATTTATTGTTTTATTAAAAACAAAAGTTATGTTTGTTTTTCATGTAAATGATTTTATCACAGAGTTTATGGTTAATTAATAATTGACAACACTAAAACAGTATTAACAACAAACAAGTTTTGCGTAATGTGGGGTAAAATATTTAAAGGGGCAGCTCAGTGTCCTGCCCCCCATACACAGATGGTTAACAACTGTTCTGGCTGTAGGCTACAACTACTGATTCTCTGAGCCTTATTTTCAGACACAACAACAAGATCAATCAGAAATGTTACAAACAAAAAACGTGTGATTCTGTAAACCACATGTTTACAGCTCAAAATTGTCATAAATGGTGAACGTAATCTGGAATAACTGGAATTGTTTCATATTTCAATCTAAGGTTTGGATTAAATTAGTTCCCCAAACAAGGACAATGAAATCCGATCAATTTTAAACCTCATAAATCTTGAAGTTTATTGGAGCTGCATTAAACCACAGTGAACCAGAACCACTATTTTACCAGCTCTACTTTGTGAATGAAGTTTCCTGCTCTCTGTTACAAGAATTATCACCTTGTCCATGACCCTTCCCTGGGGTCTTCCTCTTCTCTTTCTTTCCTGGTAGCCCCTGAATGTTTACCCAAATGTTTAAAAGTGTGTTCTATGTATTTTTAAATATTTACTTTGAAAGGACAATGTCATTACTCATGGGTTCAATAATGATAACCTTGTTGAAAAGTTATTTGCCAGCAGGTTCGTTGTTTGTAATAACTGTGATGAAGTCCTGCTGGCGGACTGCTAAATTCTCATTGGTCCACAGCTAACTTTGCCATCTGTGCAGGTCATTCCAGTAATCAAGCCTACTGGGAGGAGCAGCACAGAACACTCCTGCAGACCCTTCCTAAGTCACTGCTGGAGGACTATGGGGAGGACTACCTGAGTGAGACCATGGAGTTGTTCCACAGCTATGCCCGCCAAGCTAACCCAGACCTCAGCCCTGTGGTCAACACCATAGTGGAGGCCCTGCTAACACCGCAGCCACAGCCCCATTACTTTGCAGGAACTGGTGTTGGGCTGATGTACTTCATCCACAGCTACCTGCCGTTCAGCCTCAGTCAACGTTTCCTCCAGAAACTGTTCCTGAAGAAAAAGTTGCCACCTCGTGCTCTAAGGGAGAAGTCCAGTTTGGAGCTCAACCTGTACAACAACAATAACAACAACGAAGAGAAGCCGATGTAGTGGCCAAGTCTGTATCTGAATAACAGCTGTCTGTCAAATATATGTCTGTGTCTGTGATGCCTAACTACCACCGGTGGACATGTCCACAGGTCATATCAGGTCAGTACCTGTGGTAGATCAGTACATGAGACTGTTAGCAGTCACACAGTTGAACTGCTGTCACACTCCGGTGACTCAAATAGACCTTCACCTTTGATCTTTTTTGAATACGCACACACACACACACACAAACAAACACTTACACACAAAGTCCATTATACTTTGGTCTCACCTCCTTTTATTGCCCACACATCACTCTCCGTGAGACCATATGTCTGGGGTTCATAAAAAATAACCACTACATATTTTCTGGCACCAGCCTTTAATTAGCTTATGGTGTTATTAAGGAAATCTTCATTAAATTGAGTAGCCAGACAGTACGGGCCAGCACCTACTGGCCAGCAGCTGTATTGTACTCTACACTTTTCAGCTTAATAAATTTGGTCCACTCTATTCATCATTTCAATAAGATCTCTATATGGAACAGCTCAGCTGTGTTGGGCTACAACTGCTTAAATTTATGGAGACTTACATTTCCAAAAGTTCAATATCACCTGTCATTAAATGACTTCCCTCAATGACAGACATTTAAGTCATTTAAGTTGAAGCCCATTTTCCAAACGTCCAGTGGACTAGAACAACCTCTATGGCACTGTTGTGACTTCCTCTTGGCTGCAGCCCACTCTCTTTAGACTGAGTGAACTGCAGTCCGCTAACTGAAACTCAGGTCACTTATTTACAAACAAAGCACAGGCAGCCTATAATAATCACTTCCTGTCTGCCTTTCCAAATAAGAGCACACTATTTTCAAGTAACATATCACCTGTTGCCGGGCAACATGACATGTTTCCTTTGTGGTTTATTATGGTCAACGTACATACGTTTTTAGATTTTAGTCTGATTGTGATAAACGTTTGTGTTGATTTTCTGAAGTTCATTTGAATGTGAATTGAATGTGGAAACAAAGTTAAACTCTTTGAACATGTGAGCCAGAGCACAAACAAACTGCACGTTCTACACCAATCACAGGGGGCTGAGAGGGTACGTCTAGTCACATCTAACAGACACAACTGTGACAAAACCTCATCACTGACTGTCCAAATCATTCAACTGCCTCCATTTGACATTGGTTAGCATTAAGAACAGAAAGCCTCATCATTCCTGACTGCAGGTTTGGGAACACCAGTAAACGACAGAAGCAGTGGAGAAATGAAGCTGAATAAAGCACAGAAAACATATTGTAGCCTGTTTGTTCCCAACGTTTTTCCCAAGTACACTGGAACCTCGGTTTTGAAAATTAAGTAGGAAAGGTCATTTCATTGGTCCTGGCTCCTGCTGAGGAGTCCTGATAGGACAATGTTCACTTCACTTTCTCACTAATGATTGTCTCTGAAATACTGTGGCCGGCCAACTGTTTCTGGTTGATCCAAATCAGTGTCAACTTTTCCAACTTCTTCTACTGTCTGAGATCTGTTCTTGGTGATCACAGTCACTGCTTTGACAACTTTAGCTTCTGTTACTGCTTCCTTCTTCTTCATGATGCTACAAATCCACCACTTTGTTAAACCATACTGTAAAGACACATCTGAAACACCAGCTCCATTCTCATGCTTTCCTACAATCTTTCTTCACTTCTGTTGTTGTTCTATTTTTCTTTCTCACTGTGATTTATGGAATAAAAAAAATATAAGAAATAGAACAACACAAGAAATACTATACTAATATAGTTTTATACTCGGCAAAATTTTGCATTATGCTAGCAGCAACACGTGTTGCAGCTTCTATTTACTAGGTATTTACTCTTTATATGATAAAAATGTAATTCTTATTTTTTTACCAACATAAAATAAATACTAAAATATACAAAGGATGATAATTCAATCTGTTATTTAAGGTGTTTTACTTACTTCCTGTTATTGCAGTGTAAGGCAGACAGCTCCCTCCAGAGGTGTAGGCTGTAAATTCACAGGCCTGGTCATGTGACCATTCACAGTGTCATGAAGACAAGCTATACTTCCATTAGAACCAGGGATTTGCTAGAAAAGCCAAAAAGGACAATTCCAGATGTTTCCGGAAGTTGAAAAGAAATATACTGGAATTAAACGGGTTAAATCGAAATTGCCGATCCCGCTGACCAACTTCAAACAACCTAAGGTGTGTTATTGGTATGGTACCAGAGAAACACAATGTGCAAAAGCAGTGCATACTCCAGCAGGGCAGGGTGAGGATGGAAGTATCATATTACTTGGCACACGTGCCAGTAACTAGGAAACTAGTTACTAGTAACTATCTTCAGTTGTTCACACATGGTAATCAGAGCCTCACCTTGTATCTCTTGGCCCACTTTTACTTTTCACACAATGGGTCGCATTTCTGCTAATCTTGTACTACAGATGAGCAGGGTGGGCAACGACTGTCAGAACACACACACACGCACACACACACACACACAATGACTTTGATGTCTTCATATTAAATTTTCAATACAACCAATCATTTTAACAGCATATTTTATCACATTAAACATTCAGTCTTATTTTCACTCCAGCACATTAAACTAAATCATTTTCTCCCATTCTGATATCTGTCTTACCGTTCTTAAAAATGCAGCTTTTTTGTGCTTGGTATCAGCAGTCTGTAATTGATCGTTAGAGATAAACACTCCTAACAATGTCTGCCCCTGTTTGTCATTGTAATTTGCTTGGTTGTTTGTTTGTTGAATTCTGTCTGTTTCCAAATTGAAAATTTTTACTGAATGGTGTCTTTTTATAATCATTATTAAAAAAACTGTGAATTTTACATGGAAATATAAAAATTCATATAAATTGAACTTTGACGTAAAGGTGTATCTTTTTTCAGTTATTTGACTTACTAAAATCGTAGAGAGCTAAAGTGCACCACCGAACAATAATGTCACAGAACGTATTAGTCATAAAATATAATAATCTTCTAGTTGCAATTTACTAACAATTTACTAACATAGTGTCATTTGATATTGACATTGATTCACATTGAACTCATCTAGAGTTGAAAACTAAGACTATGACATCACAGACTAATATATATATATTTGTGATGTCACATCACAGCACAAATTATTGAGTAGATCGCTGCTGCCTTAATCAGTGAGTAAAATTAATTATATTGTGGTTTTGGTTTTTAAAATTACCATAGTGACAGTGACCAGCCACACGAGGCAGCAGTAGACCAGCACCTTTCTTGAGCTAAGAGCACTGACTTTATCTATGGACTTTGGTGTGGGAGAGCGGGGGAATTACAAACACTAAAGTCATAAAATGAGACCAACTGTCTACACACACTCTCCTATCCAACTAGTGGAATTACTGACACTGTTTAGCTCTGTGGGAAACCAGATGTTGCGTCAGAGAGTTCAACTTTCTTACAGAAATCCTTTGAGAGCAATTGAGTTTATAGGCATGCCCTCCACGCACCAATGCTTAAACACAAACGCTCATATGGTGAAATACACACAAATTGGCAGGCACCTTTAGGGACACACAACACAAATACACATACACACACAGACATACACACACTCTCCTTACTTGACCTAATCTTCAACCACTCTTAAAGGAACAGAGCAAAAACATAAACAGATATACACTTTGTGTTCCTAATGGTCATAGTAAAGTAGGTGGTGTGTGTTTCTCACGTTTCTCACATCAGTGTGTGTCTGCAGTGACTTCTCACAGTTTTGTACCAGATGTTCTTCCTGACACATCACAATCGGGACTGGAGTTAGGATGTATTTAAACAATGGACCCATTTTTGGGGCAAAGACATTGAGCTAAAACCATACTAATTAGAGTGTGTGGTGCCTGGGGAGAGAGTACCACAGTGATGTGTTGAATAAGCATGGGTTCCATTGCCAAAAAAAGCAGATGGTAGGATAAATGATGGAAACTAAAAAAGTTGCAGAGAGTGGAGGACAGAGACCATCTGCTGAGAGAAATAGATTACTGGGCAACCTTGAAGGAAGAGCTAAGAAAACAGCCTGAAAGTAGTATACATAAAACCAAAAAACGCCTTTGTTTGATTTTACTCTTTCAAATTAGTTCAGTCTTTAATCTAGTGATGGGTCAAACAATAACAAAGCAATGGTGCATATATGAAGGACTAGGACCAAAACCCTGGTATCTGAGGACCAGAGGTTTTCTTTGCTGCTAATTGTGTGAAATTAAATTAATAAAATTGTCTTTCCCCTTACACACAGCAGCACACCAGCACTCCCAGTTTAAACAGTTCTTATACCATCACATACATATCACCAACCAACAACACTATTTACACTATTACAATAATTCCTCTTTTGTCGACACAGTATGTTTATTTATAGTCCAACTACCGGAAATATGGTTAGCGCTTTATTATTAACTAGTTACATAAACAGGGACCTGTGTCGGTCTTTTCCCACGCTCTCCATCCGAGTTGATTGTAATTATTTTTTAAATCCAGCAGATGTCGCTACTAAGCGATCCATCGACAGTGTCGTCTCAAATGACACCACTGTCGTATGCGACAGGGAAATCTAATTATAATTTAAAAAGATTAAAAAATATATATCTATATATATTTCATCAAAGTTTTATTCTTACCTCATCACAAGGTCTTCAAAGTGGACACCAGCAAACAAGTTCCATTCAGTAGCTTTGCATAAATCTAGTCGTCACTACAGAGAGCAGACAACATAATCAGACGTCAGTTACGGACACAAATTTCAGCAGTAAAACCTTTATTTTAACAGTTCTCGTTTTAAATCTAGCATATATATATACATATATAAGCTCATGTATGTATGTACACACACATTTTACATATACTAGCTTTTGATGTTGTCTTTTCTTTCGACCTTTGTCTTCCTGTCCTTTATTTAAACTTTAAACGTGTTTTCTGATCTTTTTGGCTCTTTCCACAGCCTTCGTGACTTATTTTTGTCTTATTAATTATTTTTCTTCTTCCTTCTCACCCACTCTGTTTGTCCAGCTTTCTCTTTTTTTATTTGCCATCCCTGTTTTTGTTTTCCTCTCTATTTCTAACGTTGTCTTCTCCTTTTGTTTTCGTGGCCATTTTCTTCATGTCTTCCTAATGTCCATTTATGTCACACCAGCTCATTTCATGTAGCATTTTTCATTTATTTCAGGAAGAATCTATGTAATAATTATAAATCAGTGGCCTTTTTCTACTCACATCATCGTGGTGAAGAATAACTCACTGGTCACTCGCTCCATTCTGGGCCGACATTGTTAGCAGTGAGCTAAACGTTACTGATCGTTTCAAACGTTACTGTTCTTTTTAAACGTTGGGCGCTATCGTAAAGGCGGCCAAACAAACACAATTCGTAGTTTTCATTAAAAACTATGAATTATCTTGGGCAGAGACTACACAACTTTGTGCTTAAAAAAAGCGCCAAAATTGTATTTTCTTGTGACTTCCGGGATACGTCTTAGGTTAGATGTATTTCACTTCTGAAATATTTCTCCTTAAATGAATTGACCGGAAATGGTGGGTGTGAACTAGTGTCCTGCTTTCAAATGGCGCATTCTAGTGGACAGAAAATGCACTTCAGAGGCTGAAGCTGCTCACAAACGCCTTTTTTTTACTTTGTAAGAACTACAAATGTGTGTATATTTAGGTGTATGCTGTATGTACACTAAATAGTGATAAGCTTCCCCTCTTTCATCTTAGTCTGTTTACGTGTTTAAATTCCACTTTATCTTCGCAGATTACAGGGAAATGCAGTAAAAACTGTTCATTTGTCATTTATTAATATTGAGTCATTAGTACAAAGACTTGTTAGTGAAGACAAGAGCAGTAAATGATGTGTAGGCTGAAATGAGGCGGAGTTTTTTCTGCAGCTCTGAAAGCGGTGAGGATCAAATGAACAAATAAACATCAAACTGTTATAATGTCACCTTTGTTTACAGCCAAACTCTGGTTTGAAGATGCAAAAAAAAAAAAACATATGTAAGATGAATCAAAAATGCCTGTTTAATATGTTAATGTATGAGCGATCTACTGGGGTTTAAGTTATAATTATGTCCAAAAAGTTGAAAACTACGAGTATCTGTAAACTGTCTGTGCAGGACATTAGTCGTTGGAACTTAAACTGCATCGTCCCTATGAAGTTTATGTGAATTAAAATGACTTAAATCTTTAAGTCTAACCAGTTACTGCAGTAACTTGTCATAAATTGGAAAAATTACTTCTAAAAGTGACAGCTTCCCAACACTGGGAATTACTGGGATCACCTAAGGTGACTACAATGACATGTAACAATTTCACAACCATGTTTTCTACAGGACAGATGTCCATGGTGACACTTTCATAGTGAGTTCCATCTGTGAAGTCAAAGATTTGATTTTCTACATTATGACGTCTCTTTGTCTGCACTGAATCTGTGGCCGTCAGATTTCACATGTTTGACATTGACACATCTACGTCGACAGGTTAACAGAGCCCTTGGATCAGGTACAGGTGAGTTTGATTGTCATTGTGCTTTCGGACGTGTCACTACGACGTACAAAGACGGACGTGTACGGACGGTGACCTCGGCGGCGAGCATTGGGGACTTGCACATCGTCAACGGTTGCATAGCTCTTTGATGTTTGCCCTTTAAAATGTGTCAAGTGGTAAAAGCCCTGTTCTGGTTTGTGGTGCAGCGAAGTCCTCGTCTGGTGTCCCCCATCCTCCACCTGTCCACAGGAAACACACGGAGACATCACAGCCGCTGCCACTGAGGTGGGGCTTCTAGGAGTCTCATCTTCATGGTTTGTCAACAAAATGTCCTGCACCAAAAGTTGACTGTGCTTCAGGAGACCAGGGGGGAGAAGAAGGTCCACGGGTGAGGAGGGACGAGGCAGCAGGGGGCAAAGCAAGTGTTTCCTCACAGGGTGTGAGTTCACTAAAACAGGAGACAGGTGTCCTCCAACAGAGACAGGGGTCCTTTAATAAAAAGTGTGTCTTGCAGGAGGTCAAGGGTCACTTACTGAGTACAGTGGTCCTCTAAAAGAACTGTCCTCCACCCTCTGCACCATAGAAACAGGAAACCCCTGATTGAAGACAGGTGTTCATCAAGGTGTCCCCTGGTCGTCAGGGTAAAAACGTCCTCATATTCGTATATGGAAGTTACTGTTCAGAAAACAAACAAAAGACAGAAGCACAATTTTTGTTTCATTCATCTTCAGTTGCTAAAGGATCGTTGTATTTGGTCTGAATTTTTCTGGAGCTCATTTGGTTTAAAAAAATCCTGATCAAACTGTATTGTATGGTGAGTTGAGTGATCATTATCTTCCTCCTACAGATACTTCACTGCCCACTAAAGCCTCTTATATTGTTACTATGAGGGCTCCAGCACCAGAGGGCGCTCACAGCACCATAGAGCAGTGCTAACTAATATGAGGCTGAACTGGTGAAGATGAGCTGATGCTGTGGTACCTGATGAAGTCAGGAGCTTTCGAGATCATGTTCTCAAAGTCGGCGAAGGACAACTTGTTGTCTCCGTCCAGGTCGGCCTCCTCCATGGCCTTGTCACACACCAGCATCACCTCCTCCGGCGTCAGGTCTCCTTTGGTCAGCTTGTTGAGGGTTTTCTTCAGGTCTTCCTTACAGATGAAGCTGTCCCTGTTATAGTCTGAGCCACAAGAGGGACACGTCAGCAAAAGGAGGGAGCAAATGGACAGCAAGGTCACAAGGTCACGGTCAAGGTTTGAAAGGACAGGTCGATTACCGTAGATCTTAAAGGCATAGATCATCTTCAGCTCTCTCGGCGATGTTTCACAGAATGCCGAAAACATGTCCACAAAGTCATTGAAGCTCTGGTTCCCCTGTCCGTCTTCAGAGAACGTCTCCACAATCCTCTCTCTGAACGGGTTCTCCTAGAACACAGCAGGAAGACTAACCGTTAGTCCTGGGGTGTAGAACCGACCACCGGGTCGACTCGACTCTCTGCCTCTCTGACCTTCAGCTCTGGCATGGTTACGATGAGGGTCGGAGGGACGCTGATGTCCGGGTTGTTGGTGTAGTCCAAGGGAACCAGGTGTGGAGCCAGTTCACGGTATCTACTGTGCAACCTGGAGCATGGTAGAGGTCAAAGGTCAAGGTCAGCAGATGTTAATTTGATAGAAAATCACCTTCCTGTTAATGTTCTTGTTTTTTTTCATGTTTATCTGTTTGTTCTGCCAGTTTGTGGATTTCTAGTTTCCTGTTGATGGGGCAGTTAAACTCATGCTAATTTCCTGTTTGTACTTTAGTTTTATAGAGGCTTCACTTTCAGTTGGTGTAGTTGTTTAATTCATGCTAACTTCCTGTTAATATTTATTAATAATTTCTTCACTTTTTAAGTGATGTTGAGGTGATCTTCTCTTCATGCTAACTTCCTGTTTACACCCTGTGGTTCCATAATTCTTCTCTGTGCTAACGACAGTGTTAAAACGTTAGCTTAACTCACCGCAGGATTTCTTTGCGGGTGAAGAAGGTGCAGTCCTGTAAACAAACCACAGACAGAGAGAAACAGGTGAACAAACAGAGCAGTGAGGTCACCAGATTTACTGATGATGATGATGATGATGCTGATGCTGATGCTCCTCAGGGAGGATTGCTAATCACACATCACTCAGCCATGAACAACATCAGACACAGTGCTGCCGATCTCTTCTCTCCTGTTCTACTCTCCCTGCAGCTGACCAATGACAGCGCAGAGCCTCAGAGTCTTAATGAAGATGAACGGTCGCAGCAGCTTCCTCTCTAACGCTGCTCACATCAACCTGAAGCTGACGCTGCAGATGATAATCAACCCTCTTCACCTGAAAGGCTTCCAGCTGCTCGTCGGTGAACGTTGTTTGTTTGTTTCCCATCCTGATGCTGCTGCTGCTGCTACTGCTGCTAATGGCAAATCTGCTGATGCTCCCATCACACCATCACATCACAAGCTGCTGCTGCTGCTTCCATCAAACGTGAAATCAGCAGAGCCAGGTTGACAACATGCTTCTGTCCAGCCTTAACTGCTGCTTCTCTGTCTACTCTAACACACACACACACACACATGCACACACAGCTGCAGAGGAAGGGGGGCAGGACCAGGGAGACAACGCCCCCCAGTGTTGAGGAGGTGAAATGGGAGTAGATCCTGCCACTAGTTAGTAAACATCTGTGACCCATCATTAAAGGACATGAACCGATGACATCACTGTTGTCGGTTTATTGATGGTAATGTGGTTTGAAGCAGAGCTCAGTTTTGACATTTAAATTTCTTCTTCAATGTTTTGTTTTTCTGTCAGTTCTGTCCACATGTGTCTGAGACAAAGATGTGGTTCACCACAGAGCTGAGGTCAGAGGTCAGGGTTACATTAACTTCTTGTTTTTGGGCGGACCAAGGGGGCCGTCTCAGTCTAATCATGCAGAACAATCTGGGTCTGAGGCCCGGTCCAGGCCCATCTCTGCACAGTCACAGTGACTCACTTCAGCCTCGTACATTCTTCTGCTGCTGTGTAGGCGACGACTCCATACAACAAGACCTTTATACTGAGACAACCAGCGGTGAACAGAGTGAGACAGAGTGGCATGTTGTTGTCACACACTGGAAAAATCACATTCTGATGATGACGTACTTAAAGAAATGTTGAGAAATGATGCGCCATGAGACGCAGTCTGTGATGAGGGAGACAATCTGAGCAGCAGACACAGGTCCCTGAGGTCCCTGAGGTCCCTGAGGTCCAGATCCTGTCAGGCTGTAGCCCTGACAGACGCAGCAGTGACCCAGCTGCCCAGTGGACTGTGAGTCTGCTCAGGCCATTCAAGCTGTCAGTCCTCACTGACATGTATCCTCAGGCAGGAGTCCACACAAGTGATGACCTCAAAAACACTGACGTTGTTTCTGTTATTGTCTCCTGCTTCCTTCCTTCCTTCTGTTTGTTACATATTTAAACCAAATATAAATATAAATATAAAAATATAAATATAAATATAAATATAAATATAAATATAAATATAAATATAAGGCTGGATGTTTCAACAACTGCATGGTTTTGTGTCTGATTGGTCTTTATCAAAATAAAGCAGTTTGTTTGACTGCTGATTTGTAAATATAATATTAGAACACGGTGTAACTGAGTCATAACAGTACAACTGTGATCTATTGATCATCACAATACTTATTGAAATAAACCCATAAAACTGCTGAGGTACACTGACAAGACACTGGTGATATGATACAGAAAAAGAAATACAAACAGAAGAGAAGAAGAAGACAGGAAGGACAAGAGGACAATGGAGGAGGAAAAGGAGGAAGGAGAAGACAGTGGGTAGAGAAAGGAGTAAAGAAGGAAAATTGGGAGGATAGAGCCAGAGGAAGAGGAGGACGGAAGACGGAAGCAGAAGTTGAACAAAAGACGAGGAGGAGGGAGAAAAAGAAAAGCCAAAATGAGGACGAAGACAAAAAAGTAAATAGATAAAAAAAAGGAGGGGGGGGAGAGAGAGAGAGAGAGAGAGAGAGAGAGAGCGAGAGAGAGAGAGATTGTGCCCACGGCGGTGCAGGGAGATGAGATGTGATGAATATAAATCAGGTGACTGAACAGACCAGGGCTTCATCCTGACAGAGAAGCTCAGAAGATCGTAATGTTCACTCCTACATTCATGGTTTGCATGTGCGTACGCAGACACGCAGACACACAGAGACACAGAGACACAGAGACACAGAGACACAGACACACAGAGACACACACACAAAGAGCCCGACCACATACAGCAGTGGACCAGTCTGCTGTCAGACCCGTCGACCTGCCGGAGCCACAACAGCTCCAGTTCCTTTGTGACTATAACTGACCCTGAGCTCAGACCGAGGTCCAGACTGATCCTTCACTACTCCTACAGAAGTTCCTGTGAATGCTGACGCTGGTGGGAGACCCTCGGAAGAGAGGAGCGGACGTGGTCACCATGTGGATCCCAACACCCAGCATGACCCTCCGTCAGCGGCTGGTCCTGTACGGGACGTGTGCCGTGGCGTTGTTGAACTCCGTGGGCCTGCTTGTCCTCCTCATCCGACAGAACGATCAGCGGACCTCGCTGGTCCAGATGGACGCCAGAATGACTGAGGTGGAGCAGAGCTCGGTGGTGGAGTTCCTCCAGGCCGTGCCCAGGAAACCAGCGGGACTACGAGCACAGGCGGAGGAGGTCCCAACGTACCAGTAGCAATACCAGAACTCCAGGAACAAGAGGAGTGAAGAGCTGGAGAAGGAGCTTCAGCAAGAACCAGGAGATGAAGACGAAGAACAGCAGGTCCTCCACAAGGAGATGAGCCAGGAGGTGACGGAGGAGACGGAGAAGAAGAGGACGAAACATGTGCTCAAACATAAGGCTCGTCACAGTCAGAGTTACCACAAGACACACGTGCAGGACGACATGATGATGATGATGACCTACTCCATGGTCCCGGTGAGTTCAAAGCCAACAGATCTAGTGGTGACAAATACTATGACTATGAGTGTGCACCGTGGGGCTGGTCTACAGCTGATGGAGACACCGCTCCTGAACTCCTAATTTATTTGTCTTCTTCCTGTTGTTCAAAGATCAAACTCCTGGTTGACATCTGCAACAGTACCAGAGGAGTCTGTTTAACTGGTACGTCACACTGGTCTATTAACTAGTAAAGTCCAGAACACGGCTGCCTTCAAAGCGTTCAGTGTTTTTTCTTCTTCTACTTCAGGGCCTCCAGGACCTCCAGGACCTCCAGGACCTCCAGGACCTTCAGGACTACCTGGTGAGTGGGAAAACTAGGACAGCTTCCTGCGTCCTTTGAGGCTAATGTGTCGATGCTGATGTGTGTGTGTGTGACTGTAGGTCTGCCAGGTCTGAATGGTACCAACGGCCCCCCAGGTCTGGACGGGCCGCCTGGATCTGAGGGGAAAAGAGGAAAAAAAGGTAAGAAAAAAAAAAGATTAATCGCAGGGCAGCAGTGAAATCAATCACAATTAATTAAAGATCAATCAAACTGATGAATGAATGGAGACAAATATCAAGATGATATGAGACAGAGGTCAAAGGTGAGGTTTATCAGACAGCAGTGAGACCTGCTATGATGTCTGGTTCAGAGACAATCCTGGTCAGGATCATGATGTCAATGTCTTCATCTGTTCTCCACAGGGCCACCAGGTGACACTAGATCATGATGTCAATGTCTTCATCCGTTCTCCACAGGGCCACCAGGTGACACTGGAGAACCTGGTGAGAGAGGAGAGAAGGGAGAACCTGGTCCACCTGGAGAAGACGGACAACCATCTAATGAGGTCATCGTTAAAGGTCAGTTATTGTCTTAAGTCTTTTCTTCTGATGAATATCTATTTGTACATCAAACAGTCCACATGTTGTCTGTTCCTCATACAGGCCCTCCTGGTCCTCCTGGTCCTCCTGGTCCTCCTGGTCCAGAAGGTCCTCCTGGTCCCATGGGCCCTCCTGGCCCACAGGGGCCTCCTAGAACAAGACATCACAAAGCCCACCTTCAGGCGACTCAAACATTCAGTGAGAATCAGTGTTTTTTTTTCTGTCCTGATCATTAGTGACAGTGGGGGAGACAGGTGAGACGCTGTCCTGGGGCTCACGTTGTCTCGTCTTCTCCTGCTACACACTCCTAAACCAAGGAACTTGAACTAACTTTCCTGGTAGTGGCTGTGAACCACAGAGGTGCTGGTCCTCATCCCGACTGTATGTTAGATTGTAGTACTGTCTTTGTAGACGGAGTGGAGTCTGAATGTAGTAAACGATGTGGTTCAGTTGGGGTCAGAGTCCCAGGTCACTGTCTGTGTCGTGTGGAGCTGACTCTGGACTCTGGTTTGTTTTTCTGACAGGCCTGTCACAGGCAGCCCCCCGTGATGAAACACCAGCAGTGAAGGAGGACGACCATCAACACTTCAAGCCCACGAAGAAGAACGGTACCACTGAGCAGCTGTGTCTTCATCCACTGAGTGCTGCACACACAGGAAGAACGTTGTTTTTTTTTAAATATTTGTTTCTTTTTCCTGTCAGCAGGTTGTCTGATCAAGTCTCTCATCAACCTCAGGAACGTCACCAAGATGGAGACCACGTTTGGGACGTGGATGAAGGACACAGCGGTGCTGAACGATGAGAGGATATGGGTGGCTGAACACTTCTCTGGTAGGTTCTCCACATCCACACCTCCATCACTTCACCCAGACAGAACGGCACCAAACAAACATGTATCAAAGGAGCATCAAACAAAACCATGTTTCTGCAGCACGTCATGTTGAATAATAACACAAAGGTACAAAAAGGAGAGAGAAAAGTATTAATTCCTGCACGAAAACACAATTTCTACTCCGCCCTCACTAAATGAAGCTAAATACGTCAGGTGATTGAAGTTTAACACAGACTTCAAATAAGTAAAACAATAAAAAGAACCAAATATTTAACTTTAGGTCAAAATGGTAATTATAAATAACTTAAATGTTTCTGTTTTAATTTATTATTTATAAATCAAAATATTTTATGATCTTACCTTGTGTGTGTCCACGGAGTACACGGTCCTGTTGGTATCCGGCCGAATATCACGCTCGTAAAACTCCTTTTCCTTTAGTTTTAAAAGTCTCCGTTGACGGTATATCGTCGTAGTCGCTGTTGTTATCGTTAGTTTACTGCTGTGTTGGCTAGTCGGGACGAACAGTCCGCTACAGCATTTGACATGTTTACTTCCTCTCTGCGAATAGAAAAACGACAATAAGTAGCTCACGTCTGCCCCCATTCGCCGCGGCATGGTACTGTTTGCCTCACCGTAATCCTTTCACTGCGATTGAGGACTAAAGTAGAAATGAAGCACTCTGTCCTTCATAGTCAGCACACGGAGGACGGTGTTTCACTTCTTTTTGTCCCTCTGGTTGATGGTTTCTCCAGTGAGACCTGGCAATGCTGCCGTGGTGACTGAAATGAAATGGGAATGAAACCTTTTGTTAAAATGTTTTTCAGGTCGAGTGATAACCTTTTATTAAAATGTTTTTCAGGTCGAGTGATAAAGGAGTATAAGAGCATTGGAAGCTTCCAGAACAACAACAGCAATACTGTCGACGTCAGGAAGTTCTACCAGGGCTGTGGTCACATCGTCCACAATGGTTCCTTATACTATCACATCGCTGGTACTTCCAGTATTGCTAGGTAAATACTTTAACAAGAAAATATTTGAAAATTATTTTGCAGTGTGCACAGTACTTTCTGCCATTCACTTCAGGGCTCCATGACGTCAGTACCGATGTTTGTCCCACAGATTTAACTTTGACACCAAGAGGCTCCACACCCTCACCATCGACAACGCCTTGCACCAGAACCTGGCCTACCTGCTCTACAACTCCAAGACCTACTTCAAACTGGCGGCGGATGAGAACGGCCTGTGGCTGATCTTCGCTTCCAGCTCTGACGAGAACATCATGGTGGCCCAGCTGGACCAGAAGACCTTCTCCGTCACCACCTACATCAACACCACCTACCCACGCACCAAGGCTGGGAACGCCTTCATCGCCTGCGGCGTCCTGTACGTCACGGACAGCAAAGACACCAGAGTGACCTTTGCCTTTGACCTGCTGAAGGAGAAGCCCGTGAACATGACCTTTGAACTCAGGTCCCCAGGTGGGGTGCTGGCAATGCTTTCTTACAGCCCGAAGGAGAGACACCTGTACGTGTGGGACCACAGCTACGTCCGGCTCTACGTGGTCCACTTCATCTCGGATGAGTGACGGAGTTTGGCCCGCTGACGACACAACAACGTCACAGGTTAAAGCTAGCGATGTCCGATAATATCGGCTGACTGACATTATCGCACATCCCTAGTTAAAGCTTTCCTTAGAGAAACGCACAGATTCTCCTGCAGTCGCCCGTCATCTGTTGTGAAAAAATTAACTTAATGTTATTTTTTTAATTTAGATTTAGGTTTTGCTGTATTTATGTGTTTGAGTTTCACATGGTTTTGTATTTATTAACAGTGTGAATTGGAGTCAAGGGTCAAAGGTCTTTCTCAGTTCTCTTCCTTTTCTACCTTTATTTAAGCGACCTATTTATTGTCGTAAAGAACAATATTGTTTTGAAGTATTATGGTAACAGTATATGACACGTTCTATCAACCAAGCATGACTGGTGTAGTTCTTGTAGAACCCAAGACCAGAACCTGATAAATGTAGAACCCAAGACCAGAACCTGGACATAAATCACTGATAAATGCAAATGCAAAAACACAAAACCGCTAAAAAAACCCACTCCTCATTTAGAGACCAACGTCGTACGCTGTTATATTACTTTGTAACACCAGGTCACTGTATCTTTCCGCCTGACATCGTGTAAATATCAGTAGTTAACCTGCCTTAGTAAGAACACGAGCCTCGTTCCTGCTCCATTTATCTTAATTCGTACGTTTGTTTTATACGTCATTATCCACATACCCCCGTGGGTGTCGTAAACGATACATCCACTAGAGGACAGCGTTGAGCTCAGAGTTCGTTACTGTCCAACCTGGGTTTCAGGCGAACCTGAGATACACTGTAGAACAACGCCCCCCCACTGTTCCCAGTGGTACTGCTCTGTGTAGTGATAGGCCATCCACGAGCTCTCCGCCCCCCAAAACTGCCCCCAAATTACTCATGTAAGAGAGGACGGACGAAAGGCTCCGTATGAAGTACTAACTGATATGCTAGTACGGTCATTGTGGTTGATGTGATCGTGAGTGGTCAGTGCTTTCATTTTACGAACATTATAATATTTCACTTTTTACCATCAGAAATACATTTTTTTGTTTCATATATGAAAAAACCCCATTATGTTTGAGCACCTATTGGGGAGGGCGGGGGTTTGAACACTACTGCTCTGACCCACACGGTGCCACTAAAGCACCATCTTTGTCCGACATTTTGGACTTTGACTCTCTGTGGTGAAGAAGAAGCCACAGTGTGAAATCCAGCTGATGAAATAAAAAGAATTTATTCATTTTACAAAGGTAAAACTCTGACCTCTGACCTGTTGTCTCACCCCTCCAGGCTCAGGTGCCCCCGCTCAAGTGTCTACCCATGATACTGGCTACGTTTGCATCAATACATGCATACACGCACATACACACACTTCAGACGTTAGCAGGACGACTGGTGAAACACGAAAACTAAACGTACAGTACACATACTGGGCCAAGGACGGACCTTTGACATTTATAGTTACAACTAATCCAGCTAGTATGATATGAAGCAGAAAATAAAGAAATGATTCTATGTTTGTACAAGCTGCTGTGGTACGTGTGTGTGTATTTATACTGTATCACTTCATATATATTTATATATATATATTTATAATTCATATAATAAACTATTTCAAACATTTTTACGACGTGGCTTCACGAAGCCAGACATTCATTAGTAAACAAGAGTTCTTTCTTTAATTTCCTTCTTAAATTAAAAAAAACATTTTTAGTGTGTCCAGAATTTGAGCGCAAACACAGACGTGGATAAAAGTGTAATAAAAACAACTGAGGTGAGGTAACACACACACACACACACGCACGCACCCACACACACACACCTAACACACAGCAGACTGATGTGCCCATCTCTCAGTCAGGTGCAGTAAAACCCTTCAACTCCTAAAAGGCATTCAGTTCAAACAGATGTTCGAAGGAACGGCCGACGAACAACAAACAGAAATAATTTAAAATCATTGGTTAAAAACAACAACAACAACAACAACAGAATAAACCAGGAGAAATGTTGTGCAAATCTAGAGGCGAACATTTGTGTTTCTGCTCCAGGGGAGGGGGGCAGGGGGGCGTTCTCATGTTTGGACCTGACAGAAGGAAACACGCTGGAATCACAAGTCACAGAAGCAAATCCCCCCCCACACCCCTACCCCACCCTCTGTCCCTCCCCCTTCCTCCCCAACAGGAATGTTTTCTAGCAGTGTGTTTGCCACACAGT